ACACATTTCCCCAGAACTCAAAGCAGTGAAAAGCTTTTATATAACTTTTTGACAAAAGCTGTAATAAGTTCTGTTTTTGGTTTGACTTCTCTGCTAATGAGGGCTACAGAACAAAGCTGCACTGATGCCTCAATTGCTCTGATATCCCTCATAAGGAATTCATTTGACTTCCCTGTATCCATTATGTTCTGTGATGTAATCGTTTTTTTTCCTATCATCCTTCCCCAGACTGCCGAGTCCAGGAACAAGGAGCTGGAGGGGAGGGTAGATGGTCTTCAGCTGGACATAGACGACAGTCAGCAAAAGCAGGTCAACATGAAGGGCGAGCTGAAGAAGTTCATGGATATGCTGGATGGAAAAATAGACGAGCTGCATGAGTTCAGGCAGGGGCTCTCCAAGCTAGGCGTTGATAACTGAGTAAAGTGGCACTGAGCTGAAAGGGTCAGAGGTCAGGTACCAAGGATTCACTACAGTGTGTCTTCAGGGCAGGAACTATGTGGCACCCTCTCCCCCAAGGTGATGTCCACTCAGATTCTATCAGCTTTGGCTTCTAATAAACACTACCATGTGAGAAAGAGATGTTTTCGGAGAGAGAGACTGGCAGGAGGGAGGCCAGCATGCTCCACCAAATGGCTCCATTTTGTGTGCTGGCATTCTGCAACTAAATCAAGAGTCACACTTTGAGCTTACTCGTCCGTTTCTGTGGGGGGAACTGCTTTAAAAAGCTGGTGGTGGGTTCTTAGGTTCTGTCCATCTGTCTTTTTTCTGAAGGCTGCACAGGTAGTCTGAACTTTAGAGTGGAAGAGGAGACTCAAAGGGCTTTAATGAATAACACACAATGACAACGCTGTTCAGCATCACTCAAGTAATAATTGGTGTGAATCCTTGTGGCCCCCTCAGAGAATTAGGGATGACATCTTTCGTCAAACTGTCCTTGCTGTGGCCGCTCTTCTATCTCAGGTGTGTTAGGAGACAGTTTGTACTCATTAGATTTTATGCACATACATGACAAACGGCCGTGACACAAAGTGCCTCCAGGTGTCTGAATATACCTGGCAAGGAGAACTGGCCAAGTGATGACCATCACCATAATAATAACTTTAGGATTTTTGTAAGAAATAAAAAAGATCAAATGAGAAAAGCCCGTACCAGGGAATATTAATGGGTGTTAATGTTGTGATAAACACAAAGGATTAAACGGGTAAAGAACCATATTGAGGATGGTCAGCAGCAGGAAGTCATTAACCCACTTGTTGGTGTTTTCAGTAAACACTCCTTTTGTTTATATTAACATATAGAAGCTCTATCGTCTTAACTTCAGAAACATCTAAAATAAATATAAATAGGAACCCCATTTTCCCATGAGTGGTGTAATGTTCAGAGGACTTTGTGTGTGCAATAGTATTGTTGTCCTTATGTGAAACCAAGACGTCTCCCAGGCTGTTGATGTGCTTCCTACACACATTAGTTTTTGTTATGGTGGTGGTTATTTTTAGGTGAGGGGACTTGGTGCTGCTCGATGGGTGGATAATGTGAAAGTGTACTTCACTGAAAACATTTAGATGGCATGGGTTTTTTCACTACAAACCCTGTCCGATTTTTGTTTTACATATTTGTATTTATTTTGGTGCCTCTCTACAACTAGTGTTTCTAGAACATACCAAGTAAATCAACCTTAACCCGATGTCTCTATAGATGTACCATAATATATAAAATATACCAAACTGTCAAAAGGTTTTATAATTGAGGATTTGTTTGCAAGATGGTTTTGCAGTTGCTTTTGAGAAATATTGAAACATGGTACATGTGAAATCAAAGGCTTATGTTGATATGGCACATTTACTGGGTATGATGTTATAAGTCTATATTTTTTCATCACTGTCTTGATATTTGAAGGGAACATTTGCTTCTCTCTGTTTAACTCTACTGTTCATAAGTCACCTGAACCTGGAATACAAAGTATGATCCTTCCTGTTGAACCAATGCCTCTTGTGCATTTTGTGACTCCTGTTCAATATTGTACAATAGAACTGACAATTGTTAAAATTTAGTTTAAATACAATGCTGAGTTCAGTGTCTTCTTTTCAAATCAATTATTGGGCCACTTTGCGGGATCTGCAGAGAAGAGGTTAAGTCACAAATCAGAGCTGTACTGTGTGTGAGACTTTGATTCTGTTAAGGCTTACACATTTGCTTACATTATTTAAAGTTGTTTTAGTTTGTGTATGAGAAGGAGGTGGGATGAATCTACATTGCCAGGGCTGCAACCTGTCGAGTCTCTACAGCAGTTCAGAAGCTCTGTCACTGCACGTCTCTTTCTCTGATGCTGATTTAAATCACAGTAAATATAGCTGTAATCCTCACAGAAACCCACACAACCAAAGCAGAAGTGGGATGTAATTACAGTCAGAAATACACATAGCATTTTGTGTATCAGGACAAATAATGCAAACTGACATACTTGAGGGAAGGAGAAACCTTTAAACTCCCAACGTCATCGCAGCGCTAAGGAAATACCTGCAGAGGGGACATGTTGCCCTGGCAACTTAATCCCACTCACTCCTGTTTGTTGTGAATGATTGACAATGAGTATGGATCCAGGGCAGCCCTCCTACAATTAATTTGTAATTACCCGAGAGAGTCAGTCATCCTTTTCAGCCAACTAAACTCGAGGATTCTGATCTCTGTTGAGCCTTTCATTTCCTTATGTACCTTCAGAGATCAGCTGGCTATTACAGAAACATCTGGGTGGAAGATGAATCCAATTATACAGTTAATTGACCAATTAAGTAGCATGTGGAAGCTATTATTTCCCCTAAATTATTCATCTTTATTTTCTCAATCAATAATTGTTAGTGCAGAATCTAAAGCTATTTAATTACAATTATATAAAACTAAAAAGCCAGATAATTTCACGAAAACTGGAGCCACAGAAAGTAAAAGAACTGAGTGGTTATCAAAAGTGTTGTTTAATTTTGAGAAAATGTTCTGCTTCACTCTTCACACCACATTAATACTGTGAACTGAATTTGAAGCGACTATTTTGATTATCAAATTAATACAACTATACAATAAACAAAACAAAGAAATGTCACCAAATATTTGCAAACTTAAATCCTATAGCGTTAACTGTACTTGTAAATAACAATTTAACATCCTCAACTAAGACAGTTGACTGACTTATGAGCTAAATGTCAGCATGCTAACATGCTCATTGTGAGCATGTTAGCATGCTAGATTTAGCTTTAAGCACTGCTCTTGGGGTTATAATTGTCATTGTGGGCAAAAAAACATGATGCTGCATTCCTGTGGTGCACACTTTAAATCTGCATCAGGAGTAATGTTAACAGCAGCAACAAAAACTCCCTAGGAGAATGATATGGCCTTGGTTGTATTTTTGGAAATGTTGTAAAACAAAACATGTAGGCTAAAGGCATCATGTCACTTTTCAGACTTTTTATTGACTATGAATGAATTAAATGAAAGATAGGTGAAAATCAATAACTATGATATCCCTAACTTTGTCTTACATCAAATCATCAATCACATTGAAATGAATACAGAAGCAGTGATGCAGCTCTGTGGTTCATGTCTGTCTCTCACGGCTCATTGTGTGACTGGTGATGAGTGGGCGAGTTGGTGAAACATCATTAAGAGACTGTGCTGCTCTGTACATGTGTCTGAGAGAAAGAGACTTTCCTGTTGCCATGGTTACAGGCTGCGGAATTTCATGTTGATGGTCTGGTTCCGTCTGAGTGCCCGCCAGGTATGTCTTCAACAAGGTGCATGACCCGTCTTCCACCTGACTCACCTGGATGATGGGGACAAATGGCCGCACGCAGGGGGCTGCAGCCCTGACGATGTTAGAGAGCGTTACTTCCTCTGCCAGCAGCTGCTCTCTAAAGCACTCAGAAGGATAAAGCCGTCACAACTGGCTGGGGTGTCTGAGCTGTCACTGCAGGAGAGAGATATGGGAGCGACGGCTGCTGGGATCACAATATGAGTCATCATCATCATCATCATCATGTGGGCGTCACATCTGCGAGAGCACACTCAGCGGAGGTTCACCGGCACAGGTTCATAAGACACCTTTTAGATGATGTGACTCATTTAAAGAACGGCGGGTTTCATTTCGCTGCAGGCGCAGATCAGGAAACACCGTGAACCATCGTCAGGATAAGATCTGAGGCAGACAGATTTTCAATGGGAAAGGAAACGCTAACAGTCTGTGATTATGATCCAACGTGTCTCATTTATTTTTAAAACTCAGGAGTACAAGTTCAGCCGCAGCCCTTATCAGCCCATCTGCTACACACTGTCTGTTTCATATCTTTGCAGTGATTAAACATTTTGTCGGCAAACCGTTAAATACTGTTTGCCCTACAGTATTGTAATTTGCGTACATAATACATTAAAGGCTTGTCTTTTCAGGTAAGTGCTGTGTCAAAGGTTCAAAAGGGAAAAATGTGCTTAGGTATTCAACCTTGGACACAGTTCATAATGTTCTCCTCTCACTGTCTCCTTTCCCATGGCATAGTTCTACGGCCTTGGGTATTGCTGCTATCTCTCTTAAGGAGGAGCAGCTTGGGCGCATTGTTGTTGCCAGTCTATGACAGAGCACAAGCCGCCATGAGGTAGTTTACGGTTCAGGGACGTAGGTTCCCTGGCGCACATTCTTTTCTATGGACGAGAGCTCTAGTTAGATTCAGGGTCCATATTTGTTTAGTCTCACTGATAAAGAATGTTGATTATTATACTCCAAACTAGTTAAAACCTCGAGCAGCAGAAGAGTTCTTCAGAATTGGTTTGGCAACCGCTGTGTCAACTCATGACACACCGCCTGTCTTGTCAATTCTCCGGCCGTAAACTCCAAATAAACCACCAGTGTTTGCCATCAAAGCTCCAGCTCTCCTCGTGCCTCTCTGAGTCCTGTTTCCAATTGCTTCAGATGTTTCCCCCACAATTTAACCACATTTATAGACAGAGCCTTGCACATGACATCATTGTTATAATTAGAGGATGTATTGATTATTAAAAAAAGTTGTGGTCACAACATTTCTTATGGCATCAAAGAGGAAGACATTACAATTTCACTTAAATGAACCCCAACACATTCATACATTTCTGACACTAAAAGAAAGAGATGAGAGAAAAGTGCATCAAAAGCCTGGGTACAAACAATGACGTCGACAAAGACATGAAGGCTGTAAATAGTTAACAGTGCTGCACTTCATGTGTTTAGTTATATGCAAAAACTACAAAACTCAGTTAGCTACAGCCCTTTGGGGTCTGGTAACACACAAAAAAACAATTGTTCAGATTTCATTACATTCAAAGATAATTCAAAGAGCCCAGTTTAGACCTTTTAATGTGGGAAACTGAGTATTTGTGACAGTGTACTTGTGAAGCACAGGCTTCCCCTGCTGTGTGCAGTCTCACAAGGCCTTTAGGCGGCAAGTTGGGAGAAATGCAATCATTTACACACAGTACTACAGCCCCACTGCTCTGCTTTTCTCCTTAATGAGCGCTGAAACACAACGCCTCATTTGCTCAGTTCTGGATTTCTGCAAACCCGCAGCTTTTAAGAAGACTACATCCTGATTCTGCCTCGAGCTGCTTGGTTGGATTTGAGCGAGTCTGGATGTATTACAACATCTCGGGGCAATTTTGAAAAGTGCAATGTTAAAGTCAGAAGAGGCGTAATCCCATCCGTGTCTAAGAGGAAGCTTTTCTGTGAACATTTGGCAGCAACATAAGCTGTAGTTCAGAACCATCAAGCAAACAGAGAGGGGGTAATGTTGAAAAACTGTGTGTGTGTGTGTGTGTGTGTGTGTGTGTGTGTGTGTGTGTGTGTGTGTGTGTGTGTGTGTGTGTGTGTGTGTGTGTGTGTGTGTGTGTGTGTGTGTGTGTGTGTGTGTGTGTTCGTTCAGCTGTCCCAGTCAGTGCTTTGTGTCTCGTCTTCCCTGTCGTCAGAGTCAGAGTCGGCTGCAACCTTCTTCATCCTCATCATGGCGGCTTTGATGCTGCGCTCCAGCTCGTTTTCTTCGCTCGTCGGTACTTCTCCATGTGCAGGAACCATCTACAATACAACAAGATTGTAGATTTAAGCATTTACATCTCTGAAAACTGAAATCAATATACTTTTTTTCTGCAAAAGATATTTTTCACATATTGGTAAAGCCCTGGTGTAAATAATGACATGGAAGATAGCTTTGATCTGACACTGATGCAGCTACATACATTCCAGCGGTTATTAACGTTACGACTGCTGTGTCTGCTGCTGCCTATAAAGGTCAGCGTTTACACTTGCTCGTCGGCATAGGAAAATATAGGATTTTATCACAAAACTCAATACAAAACACTCACAATAACTTGTTGAGTGTGTTCAATCTGCAGGATAAGTGTGAATATCAACACCAGTGACAAAACAGCTTGTATAAATGGTAGAGTTGTAAAATGAGAGCCTGATTTAAGAAATGCAGGAATTATCTTCTAAGAAACACACAAAATATATATATTTTGTTGTTGTATTGATTTCTTATTACCATATTTAACGTTTTACAACTAAGAAAGACTTTCAATGAGAACTAAAGTTGTCTGTCATGCAATAAAAAATGTGTTTCATGACAACATGTAAGGTAAAGTATGATTTATGGTGAGTATGCTTTAATGATTATTTGCATTATGTCGAAAGTCAGAATTATTATGGCTCGGGTAATCTTGAAATTAAATGTTTGTATCGTCCCAGGACTATATGCTAGTTTTTTACAGAAAAACGAACCTTCAGAGTTCTTGTGATGACCATACATACAGTATCTGTGCAACAGGCTGAGATCAGTCAATATATTGGCCTGGCTGATATGTGAACCTAGCTGTGTGTGGATCTCTGCTCTTCAAAACATCTCACCTTCTTCAGGGTGACTCCAAGTCTGATGGCAGACATCAGAGTGGTCCTCGTGTCTCCAGCAGGGGACGCTGTCTTTGGAGAGGAGACCTTTTTAAGCTGAATCTGTCCACGCTGCAATGAGGCCAACACTTCATCCATTGTTCCTGCAGTAATACAGCAATAAAGGAAAACAGATACTTTTAGGATAAATGAAGAAGCTGGACGTGAATAAAGTACTGTCTCTGCGTCTTAACATTTTTACTTTACTACACTGCGATTTTTGGAGAAACAACATCGTCTTGAATGGCTTAGAAAATATTAAGTGCTGTTGGACGTCACAGGCAACCCTGGAGCTACGTTTGCATCAGCAGGAACACAACGCCTCCTCCTCTCACACACACACACACACACACACACACACACACACACACACACACACACACACACACACACACACACACACACACACACACACACACACACACACACACACACACACACACACACACACACACACACACACACACACACACACACACACACACACACACACACACACACACACACACACACACACACACACACACACACACACACACACACACACACACACTTTTAACAGGTTCATAAAACTTTAAATGATCATGCATGTGTTTCCTCCTCACCTAAATTTTGTTTGAGCGTGTTCTTGGCTTGAAAAGGAGGGTCCTCTTTTTCACGGAGAGGCATCGGTGTGTCTTCAGAGGAAGGTGAAGCTCTTTGAGGCAGGAAAGCGGGGGGAAGTGGAGGAGGTGGTGGTGGAGGAGGTGCAGTGGGGGGGGAAGTTGCTGGAGGTGGCGGTGCAGCGAAGATTTGGACAGGGATGTCTTGAGGCTGCTTTTTCTTGGGTGTTTTATTGCGTCTGGGTGCAGGCCGGACAGGGGGGGGGCCCTCGGGGGGGGCCCTCGGGGGGGCCCAGGCTGATGATGGACAGAGGCTGGAAGGGACACGGCCCCTCGGTGGGAGACATCCTGGACTGAGGAGTCTTCAGGATGTACTGGCCATGTCGCCTCTTGAAAAAGACGAAGAGAGGGAGAATGTTTTTTAGAGGACATTGTGTTGTCTTATGTTCTGAGAGAGGCACAACAACACGCAGTGTAATGTTCTCCTGTTTTAAATAGCTCTCACAATGACTTGAGTTTAAACTGAAATGACAGAGACTGTGCAAACACGCACGCACTGAAAAAACTCAGAAATTATATTTTTTACTCACTGATGATGCTTGAGGAACCTCAGGCACGCGAAAGTCATTAAAAGGCATCCTGAGGTGCTGAACTAAACATCATGGCATGCACTGTAAACACTGGCTGACTGTTGTTGAAAAGGTTTTTTAAATGTATTTAATTGAATACCTTTTTTTCTACTTCATTGTTTGTATTTGGAAATAGGTTATTTCGGTTGATACCAAAAATGTATTGAGAACCGATACCACGCCCTACTACCAAGGCACTGGGTTTGAGTAGCTAATAACTACATTTTGCCTCTGGTGTTTCATTGAGCAGAGGCAATGACAGAGCCTGACCTCTCTGAAGGATCGTAATCTGCTCAGAGTTTTCTCTCGCTCCTGGTCCACCCACTCTTTCCTCATCTGGTCCTCCTCTTTCCTCTTCTCTCGTTTCTGTGGACAACAGAGGGAGACAGCGAGAGATATAAGGAAAAAACAGGCGTAATTTGCATCGTTTTTTGCCAACGTTTCAAGCTTCTCTGTGAATTGATTGGTTGCCATGGGGACGTACCATGTGGACATGATGATGCTGGTTGAAGAGTAATGAGCTCTGCTTGGCGGGAAGCTGCTTCTGCTCCTGGGCCTCCATGCACTGATCCTAACAACACACAAACATCCCACACTCAAAAATACATAGAATTATTCAATTACAGTTTGACATCTAATGTATAAGAAGATAAACTGCAGTTAAACCATAGACTGTATATATAAAACTGATAACAGTGGGCAAATAACGCCTCAGTTATTAAGCTTTTTGAAATATTACAATGTTGCTCTTTTTTGCTGCTTTTTTAAATATTCATGCCTTTTGATATCTGTGGGTGCTTCCTGGGAGCCTCTAACTAACCAGGGGATTCTTTACACTTTGTTCTGAGCAATAAAATGTTTTAGGTTTTTAAATCAGACACCAAGCCAGCAACAAGAGAAAATGCCAATTGCACCAACTGTGCTTCAATTACTCTGCTAAAATAAAACGTTTAAAGCAATGAGCTGTGACGTGATGGAGTGAGGAACATGCCACAAACGTTTTTTATTAACATTTAAATGTAGTGTATTATCTGCTATTTAAAAATCTGCCTCGGTCCTTGCCCGCACCTTTTTGTTTCGGAGGTAAGCTCTCCGGGAACAGATGCCGCCTCTCTTGGTCTCCAAGGTCTGCAGCCGTCGTTTGAGCTGAGTGAGAGCGGGGGGGTCTTTCTGTTGAACACCTGGGTGGAACAAGCTGTGCAGCTCCTCTGTATCCTCACACACATCATAGTACACCACCTCGTCCTTCAGCTCTACAAAACAAAGGAAATACCATCACTCAAGACTCACCGTTAACCTGTTCAACCGCTGCTCTTTAAACTCACTCAAGTGTAACTCTAACACCTTCACGACTGCTTTCTATAGCTTTAAACAGAGATGACATTATGCTCAGTGATGTAAAAATGTGCTACGTCTATTTAAAACTGTGTACACCAATATGCCACACAAACAAGCTCAGAAGCTGTGATGTAAACCACAGTCGTGCAGGTTAAACTGTACAGGCACATCACAATCAGATCATTTTCCTGATTTGTTGGTAAACTTCTGAAACAAGTAAGAAGTAAATATCATTTTATTTATAGGGTGTTATGAAAGCCTGATAAATGCAGGTAGATCTCTGCTTGAATAATCAAAGAAATTCCTAGGGCACCTAGACTAGGTTTCAAAGGGTCTTGCAGATTGATTTCAGTGAAGTTTAATTACTTAATTTCATTACTGACGAGCTGCATATAACTTGTACTTTTCAAGTTAATCTGACAGTACAGCTCATTTTGGTTTCGATGTTTACATGCATACAAAAAAACAGGTCATCTGCGTTAGCTGTGAAAAACTAAGATTTCTTATTAATTATTCATATTTTCAAACAAGTAGTTGGAAAAAAACACCGTGCCCACTGAGGAGCATTTTATTTACCGTGTAAACTCCGTTAAAAGGCTCATTAAATTCAGCAGCCTCCGTGGATTCAAACATCTCATATTTTCTGTCAGCTGTCCTGAAGCTTTCTTTACCGAGCAACTGGTAGAGGACACGTTGCCACTTTTATGTAGGGATAATAAACTGAACCCAGTTGAAGTAACAGACAGGCACACAACTTGGAAGCCAACACCAGATGTCCCAGGAGGAGCAATTAGGAAATGATTTACATGCACAAAATATGTCCCCGAAGAAAACCCAGTGTACAAGACACCGAGGAACCCCTGTACATCATAATATAATCCAGTCCTGTAATACATATGTTTAACAAAAGTGTAGTGTGACATTAAGGTGTGAGGAAAAAATATACAAAAACCACAGAGATGTGGCATTTCATGTCAACATCAAAATACATGGAAGTATTTTAAAGGGTCTGTTACCCAAAAAAAAAAATGTTTTACAGGTTTTTAAACTGACACGCGCCTCCGCCTTAACGGTTGACACAATTTGCGTCCAAATTGTTCTCCTTCTTAGAGTCATAACTGCTTAAACATCAGACAAACGCATAAACATCCATACATCCCAAAAAAAAAACCTCCTGCAGAAACCAGGAGCTGCTTCACCTTATGAATCTGGTACATGCCTGAGAGTAATCACATTGTAACTTTACTTCAGTATTAAGTACTTCAGTGATAGTTTGTACATGCATGGGTGGAGTGACAACAGGAACAGTTGTTGAGTGCCCCTTCAGCTAGAGTAGGGCTGTTATACTGCAAAGCATTACCTTGTTCAAGTGCAGCCATCCACTCTTTGACTGCCTTGAATTGAAATACAGATGGAGACATTTGTGTGTTTGTGTGAGGGCCGTTATTCTTTTCCAATTACAGTTTCACAGTGTGAGAACATCTTGAGCCTTCTCTCAGTATCTTGTGCTGAAGCTTCTGCCATTATGTTTTCTTTAATGAAAACGTTTTAATAAATACCCCCTTGTCAAAAAGACACTTTTTTGATAAGGGACCCCCCTTATCAAAATGACACTTTTTTGATAAGGGTTGTTAACTGAAGTACTGTATATTTAAATTAAGTCGTCTACCTTTGATCTGCCGTCGCACCGTGTCTATCTGAGCCACCAGCAGCTGCTCCTCGTTCTTCAGGATCTCAAACTTGGTGTCGTACAGTTCGAGTTGGGTTTCATAAAATCTTATCTCCAGCTGGTCCACTGTGTCCTGCTGCTGCCTGTCCTCAGACCTGGGATCAGTTCTGTGGCTCTGGACTCTGCCAGACAGGCTGCCCAGCTGCACCGCAACAACACACACAAGTCAGAGGATCACACTTACTGCTCTGTGTTGTACAGACTAATAACAACTTAAAATGCTTGCTTATTGACCATTTTCTAAAGTCACATCATGAGTTTTGGATGATTTAGCTGCTGGTTTTCATTCATTTCAGTAAGCAAAAAACTTGAAGAGACTTGAAACTTGAAACTTGGTGGTTATCTCTCACAGAGAGATGTGGAGGAGGTTGCAAGCAGGGGCTATTTTAAAATAAAATTGCTGCGTTGAAATACACATTGAATGGATTTTACTTTAGACTCAACTCTAAACTATTTTGTGAAAGAATATCTTAAACATAATCTTATTCAAGACATCTCTGTTTGTTATTTTTTGCCTTGAGATTTAAAGCCATGTAAAAAGGTCTGTGTAACGGAAAAGTGTTTTCAATGAGCCGGATATATTCTCTTCATTGTGTGTTGATGGTTGTTTTTCCTGTCTGTTGTGTTTAATTTATATTTAAACTAACTGTTGTGCTGTCTCTGCCAGGGTTTCCCTCAAACAAGATACAGTATTTCTGAAGCGACTTCCTGCCTGGTAAAATAAATAAATAAATAATAATAATAAAAAGATTGCTTGAGTGCCCTTAAACTCGATAACAAGGGCATTTTAAAAATAATCTCTGCTATAACCTTGATAACCTTTCAAGACAGTTTTTTATCCACATCGTGATGCAACACACTGAAACCAAGGTAGGAGAGTTATGTTAAGTTTTCCTGACATGTAGTTAATGAGCTGGCACAATAAAAGCAGGTGTATTTCAGTTAACATTTTGAATTATGTGAATACATACACCGTCTGAATATAGCTAGGTAGATCAATAAAGCTGTAGAGTGCATTGATTTTCAACAATACACACAGTATGTTAAGTTGTCACAGTGTGCCGGCACACAGATACACATTGCAAGATTTTGCATAGGTGTGGCGTACTGATCTTATTTTTCAATGCTCACACACATCTGTGTCTGTGAGGGCTCATGGTGAGTTCACTGTGGTAGATACTGCCGGCATCCTGACTTTCAAAGAGCTGACATGGATGAATAATGCAGCCACATTAAGGTGAAGCTGCTGAAGGTGTTCTTTACAAAAAGTGAAAATATGCAGCATGACACCCTACGGTAGAAAGTAGCTTGCTGTGGTCTACCCAAAATAATGTGATCCTCACATTAGAGTACGGCCCCTGAACTCACAGATATGCAGATACAGTAGCTGGCACGTTCGAGAATGTAAATAGACTCAGATGCACTGACTTATTCATGCATGCAGGTTTTGGGGGTGTATCAGGGGACATTTCTGTGTTTTTACTGAGGCTTTATAAATAGATCAAAGGACCACAGCAGCCAGATATTCACATCAGACTTGCATACCAAGTGGAAGATTCACTGTGTCACATCTCTACAGACATACCATTACAAGAGATACATGACAGATGGATCTGAATAACAAATAAAGCCTTACAACTGTCCAGCTGATACACCATTGTGGATTATGCTGATGCTACCAGAACCATTACAAAAAAAAACTGGGGATTATGGTTATTTACAAAATGTACCATTTCTCTGATGCCGTTTTTCTTGCGGTTCAGGCACATCTCTTTAGCTCTCATATGCTGCAGGGTTTCTTTGGCCAAGAGGAAGCGCAGTTTCTCCAGTCTGGGAGCTGCAGATGCCCAGGCAGCCGCTCCAAAACGAGCCTTGTCCTCCTCCATCTGCTTTGACATACCTGGATATTAAATCACAAAAGGTCCGTTATGTCTGCATCACACAAAGAAAGCTTATATTAGCAGCTACAAATCCAAATGGATACTTTTACAAAGTAAAATCTAATCAATTCGAGGTGTACACAGAATTACAGCAGCCATAAAATACGGTTTTGAGTTTTGTAATCTACATTCCCTGACCTATTTCCTTTAAAATTAATATGAAAATCTTTATTTGTGTGGACTTGAATATGAGATAACTTTATAAAATCTCATAAATATGTTGTTTGCTGTTGCAGTGCAACTAGGGACTCTGAGTGCACTTCATTTCCTGTGCTGAGGAAAGACACATAAAAAGTCATAAATTCATACATAAATAAGAGAAATAAAGATAGCAATTTATACCAGCCAGAGCTTTTGAAGTCTGTGCAAAGTAGGTGACGGTGATGTCCTGAATCGAGGCGACTGCGTCTTCTGCTTTCGTTCTCCACTCCTCCGCCTCCTTCTCCAGAGCTTCAATTCTCTTAGGACCCAAGTCCTCAAACTCTAAAGTCTTCTGCAGAGCCAGAAAGACAGTGGACAGCTTTACACTCTGGGCTTCTGGCAGATACTTCAATTTAAGTTTATTGTTGAAGTTTGTTTACACATTCTGCTTGAATGCAACACAAAAATAATGTAATATGTCAATCACTCCACCATCACATGTCTACAGTTATACGACAAGACCACGATGTAGAGTGGGAGAGATGAAGCCGCTCAATCCTTACACCAGCACAGCTACACATAGCTAAGACTGAAAGGGAACTGCAGTGATCACTGAATGAAATCTAGTCCGTACTGGGATTTCAACTGTTAATTACCATTTATTAATGTGAAAATCTATGAAATGTTATAATGTCCAGGTATAAGCTAAAACATGTCCCTATATTGTTCTTATATATCTAATCTAAATATGTTGTTAGATAGTCATGTAGTCAATATTGGGAATGGACTACTTTATTAAGTTTTTTCAATATATCTTGACTTGTGGACTGTGCACAGTCTGGAGTTATTGGAAGTGTTTGTAAAGAAAGAAGGCTGCAAGTTAGTGGTTACACAGTGATACAAATAGTGGGAGGAACTGTGAGCATATAACACAAGTACTGGCATCTTTAAGCAGTTACATAAGTTTGACAATGTTCTTTGGCTATAAAAGTGTATTTGCATCAAATTTGGCAAAAGCTGTCTGCAGATATTTTGCCTCGAGCTGAGGATGTTCCAAAAACCTTTCATTTATGTGCGTTAACACTTCAATTAATAAGATATTCAATAATTAGTTTTACAAAAAACACATCTATATGAATTTACCACATCCTAAAAAAGGCATTGCTGCTAATTAGATGTCTTTATTTACCAGGATCTCCATCTTGTAGAGGCAGGCCAGCTCTCTCATGTCCCTGAAAGGCTGCAGCAGGTACTGGAAGAAGGTGGTAGCCACGGTGACCAGGTCCTGGTACGCCTCGTCCTCTTCTTCGTAGATACGCAGCAGCGCCACCATTCGGTCTGCACTGCCATGACGCTGCAGGAGCTGCAACATGGAAGACATAAACACTCAGTGTTTCCCCTACCATTGTCTTGGAGGGGCGCTGCGCCCCGCCAACGGAGCCCCGCCCCCCCCGTTATATATATTTTATATATAAATAAATATAGCACCAAATTGCAACTAATCTATATCTACTGTCACTTTTCACATTGAACATGTGCTCTTTTATTAAATAAACTAAACGCTTTCATTTTAAGTTGTGAGTTTAGTGTTTTTGACCCCAACGCAGCGTCCACACGGTGGCGTGCGTTGAAGCTTGCCGGTGAGCTTGCCGGTGAGCTTGCCGGTGAGCTTGTCTGAAACTCGACCAACAACCAATCACATAAATTTCCCGCCCCGGACACACAAGCACGCGGTTTGATTGGCTAAAGCTTGTACTGGCATGTGATTTGATTGGCTGACGCTTCCGCCGAAGCTTCAAGAGTTGAACATTGCTCAACTTTTGAAGCGAGCAAAGCGAAGCAACGCTCCCACAATGCAGTTCGGCAAAGCGTGACGTCACCCCATTCAAAGTGAATGGGCAGAAGCGTTAAAGCTTCTAAACGCTGGATGGGCCGAAGAAACACTGATGCATTAATCAATAACAATAATCCACAGCTCCTCTCTCTGCTCCAGAGGATTTAAAACATATATATCCCAATGCCCCCCCCCCCCCGCTCAGGCAGCACCCCCCCAAAGCAGTAAACCTAGGGGAAACACTGAACACCATTAGTTGGGTTTATTGTGAACCCACAGCCTAGCTTTGCTCTATGTGCCTTTTCATATAGCAGTATATAAGTATATTATAGTAATATAACAGTCAATATAAAAGTCATTTGAGAATACACCTTCATAACCAGGACGGCTTAAGGTTGAGCTAAGAAATCGGCAGGTTGGCAGTTGTCATTTCTCAGACGTTGAAGTCAAACAAATGTTGTTCCCATCAAAATGATGAGTGTCCCATCAAATCTGATACCATTATCAAGAGCATATATCAAGGGTTTCAAGTGATGAGACCTTGTGTTCACCCAGGTCAGGTTGATCAATAACTGAAAAGTTGTCAGGTAAACGAAATAACGCGGTTCATAGATGTAGGTGTGAATGACGGAATAAGCAGAAATACAGATAGATTTTCTTTTTTTTAAAAGGCATTTTTTAAAGGTCATGTCATTTCCTCAGATTCTTTGAAGATACTCAAACCTGTGCAATATAATTCACTACTTTTTGATGCACTAGAGGGCGACATTATAAGGCTTAACTGTAAAATAAAGTACAAATAAAGTCCAACATCATCAAGCCATGACCTCAGATCTGCTCTCTGGCACAGTGTCAACAAAGCATCATATGATCTAAAAGGTGGTTTAACTGCATCAGTGTTTCTTTTGTATGCAATCTTTAAATGCATTAGTTGTAGAGATGTTGCTGATGCTGTGTAGCTGACTGGATTGTGTACTTATCTTAAGTAAACAAAAAGGTGAGGATGGGTGGGTCAAGTTACATTTCTGTGGACAAATCACTTAAAGGGTCGATAATCACAGTCTGAAAGAGAAACAGTGATGGTGGTGTTGCAACATCTTAAGCTTTGAATACACACAAACAGGAAATATTTGCTGTGTCATAGTAGACGTGTAACACCACTGTGTGGTGCTACTCCTGTAGAGAAATATTCATAAGAAAATCATTAATGGAAATACAGTCAAGCTTTTCAGAAGTTTCCTTTACTAATAAATCTTTCAATAAATCCTCACAAAATCTTCTTTCTTTTAGTATAACATTTAGAAATGTAACGTTCCTTCAGATAATATTAGTGTGGCTTGTCTACATGTATTTTTGACAGCCTCAAAGAAAGCTTCTAATACTTCTACACGTTTTTGCCTTGGTGTACAGAGGCAAGAAATGCAGAACATTTCATGGAGAAACTGAAATAGAGCGAAGTCTATTTATATCCTATATTATACGAGCAAAACGACATAAAATGACAGGTGTTTATTTTTTAAATAAAACCTGTTAATAAAAAATAGTTGGTGCCCTAAAAATAAAAGGTATGAGCTCCACGCTACAAAAGTGCTGAATTTTCAAGCAAAAATATTCCTTTAAAAAAAGTCCTACTCTTTAAGTGTATAATTGCAATGCTGCCTTGATTCAGAGTCAATGGGTCTCATGACATGAAAGCTAGAAAATAACTTTGGAATGAAAACTGCACATTTTTTAATAATAACAGTCATATGATATAGAAGGTGGAAAAAAATCCACATGATATCGAAGCTAGTGATCTGCAAAGAAAAAAGGGGAGAAGCCAATACACAATAGGTGTGTCTTATTCATCCAGCGCAGTCATAATATCAGTAATGGATTAGGATTCAATCGTCAACATGACTTGGAAGAAATTTTAAAAAACATCAACAAAATATTCAAATAAAATAGAAGCACTTAAATCGAATCCTACTTGTCCAGTGCAATAAAATAGAATGCTGCATTCATTCGGAGTTTAAGTCACACAGACTGTGCATCACAGGGCAGCTCGATGGGTCTATCTTTGCCAGGCTTGTGAATACTGCTACCTGCGGCTCATTGATCCCTCACCTGTCGCACGTGACCCTTGGCCCTCGACATCTCCTCCTGCATGCTCTTCCTCTTGAACTCCAGCAGATTTTCAAAGTACTCCTCAACATCCCGCTCATCCTGCGTGAACAACGTGTCGAGCACTATCTTTCTTCCGCACACGTCAATAGCAGTGCTGAAGTATTTCTCCAGTTTCCTGCACGGCGTGTCTGTATCCCTCTCCTCATCATCATCCTCCCCGGGACCTCCTGACCTGCTGCGACTCAGGAAGAGCAGATCCCAAATGTTGCCTTGCTCAAACTCTGATAAGTCCGGGAAGCAGTGTGCCAAGATGTCCGCCACACATGTGAACTGCAGGTGGATGTGTTTGAGGTCGCTGACGGAGAAGAGTCCGGCCCAGCTCACCTGAGGGTCCCCGAAGACCCCCTCAGATCTGCGCTTCTGTCGCTGTAGCGTCCTGTTGTGGCAGGTGACGGCGAATTTACACTCGATGACGCTCCACTGTACGATGAAGCCCAGCTTAAACGTCTCCTGTTCTTCAAATATGTTACTTTTCACCGCCACCCACCCATCCAGACTGTCCAAACGCTCAGTTTCTACGTTATTCATCTTAAAATCAGCGGTTTCACTTCGGCCCCAGAGAAGCTGCTGGCTCTGTTTACAACGTCCGCCATTGGTATGACGTAAGCCGCATTCAAAGACCTTTGACATATCCGGAACTATCAGTTTCACTAGAGCACAACATTTTAAACCATAGATAAATACAATTTACCCCATCTACTTTCAATAAAATAAATTACATAGCATTGTTAAAAAAGTTCAGGGCTGCTTGATTTCTAACGTTAAATCATCAGTATTAGCTATTTTTGTTCGTTTCCAAGGTACTGAAAGAACAAATTGTGTTATTAACGAGGAGCAGGGAAGGCATCATAATATCCCTGGCAATGTTTTCAACTTCGACCTTTGAATAATCACATGTTAGGGGAATTCCACCTCCTTAGTAGTAGCAATAAATGAAAACTGATACTGGTTTTAAGTTACATGAGTATACAGTGTTATCAAAACTAAGGTTTATTATTAGTTGTGAGCTTATTTTCAATAAATATCCAACATTCTGCATGTGTGTTTGGCATTCCTGTGATATTTGAGCAATCCGAGTAGCCTACCATCTATTTCTGTCACAGCTGCTTGGTGAGGGTTGGACTGCCTTCACAGCTGACTTGTCGGACACCAGTGTTGGCCTAAAATGGCCGTTGAGAACAGACTGTTTTGCTGAATTATCAAGGTAAACATGCATCAAATAATATAATCACAATTCATCCTTTTATCACTAGCAGACTGTTATGTTAGAGACAACTTGGTGGGTTAATGAATGAAGAGTGTCGTTTTTAGTTCTTCTCTTGTGTGTTGTTTCTGTTTAGTTGTTATTTGATGCAGAATGTTTTGTTCTTAAATGTTTTTGATCAATAAAGGATTGAAGTAAATAGATCTTTTATCCGAAACTTTAAAAATATTTTTAAAACTCACAGCCCCTCTCCCCATGGACTTGTTTGAGATCAGAGGAGGCGCACTGGATGTGATTGCAGAGGAAGCTGAGCACCAGGATTTGAGCAGAGATTCAACCATCATGGCAGACAGAGAAGCGAGGCCCCCCCGAGGTGTGTCCACCTTCCAGAGGTTTTCTGTAGACACCAACGAGTCCCTTCACTTTGAGCCCTGTGAGGACAGCCTTCCATCTCCCACCCCACCAGAAGATGAACTGGATGATGACAATGTGTTCAGAGAGGGAGAAACTGAGGTGAGACATTGACACATATTTTGCCCATGATGTATGAATGAAACATTACAAAAATGTCCTTTATTTGTTTGGGCTTAAATTATTAAAAAGGTCTTGGTAAACATAGCAGCACAAATGTAGAACCTGCCTGCTAGAGATGCCATGACTAGTTTTTTTTTTTAAATCCATTAAAACATGCCCATTTTTCTTTTCTTTTCTTAATATGGCAATTACGTTCCACATGCATATCTATCATTTCAGGTTTCTTTGTATCCCAGAAGATGGAGCTGTCCACATGAAAGCTTTTGTTACCGAGACACACAATGTCACATGAGCAGAAAGTCCTGACGACACAGGCTGAAAAATGGTTGTTACTGGATTATATTAAAAAGGCAATTTTGACTTTCAATTGTTTTCAGGGTGAGATCGTCACAGTCAGGAATCGATTGCAAGGGAAAGTTGCTGAAATGGAGAACTTTGCAGGTCATCTGGAAGAAATCTTTCTCACTGTGGAGGTAAAGTCATTCTCTAAACACTCTCCGTTTAGTGGAACAGATTGTGGTAATGTGTTTTGACATTGATTTATTATTTTATGGCTATGTGAGCATTTTGGGAATACTTATTTTCGAATATTTTAGTTTTATTAAACTCGAAGACAAAAAGAAAGTTCAATATGTCAGATTTCATTTTTGTAAGTAGATGTGTGTCTCCTGGAGGACCCTAACTCAGAAGTCAAACACGGCCATATCATTCACTGCCTCCCTTTATCCATCATCCTCTCCTAATTTCTCTTCTTTTCATAGTTAGTTTAATGCGCAACACATGTGTAAATCTCTTTTAACTGTGGTCATATAAATGTATTTGCAGGAGAATTTTGGCCGTCAGGAGCAGCACTTGGAGCAGCACTACAACGATGTGCTGCTGACGTTGTCTCAGCGTTACGACGAGAGAGCGGCGGGGCTGGAGGAGGAGAAGAAGGGCAAGCTGGAGGCGCTGTACAAGCAGCTGCTGGCCTGTGGGCGAGCCATGGACGCCTCCAAGGAGCTCATTGAGACGGCCCAGAAGGTGTACCGCAGCCAGGACAAGAGGCTGTTCCTCAAGGTGTCCACGCTTTTGTTCAAGTGCAGATTACATTAGCTCCAGTGAAGGATGTTACTGTCAATGTTAAAACCACTGCTGATAGTGATTGTGGATATGAAATATTGTATTGTAATTCTACATCTATTTACTTTATTCAATTGATTTCTTTGACTTTATTGACAGGCAGTTATGCCCACCATTAAAAGGTAATTATGAAGCTTGTCAGTGAGCATGCCTGATAGTGTGACTCTGACCGTGACTGCAGTGTGATTTCAATGGATTAACAATATGTTTTTGCCTTTAGTCTTATATTATGTAAAGAGACACCTTTTGAACATTTAATAAGTGTTATACAAACAAACAGCATGACACAAGCTGCTTGACCCTAAATGTTAAATTGTATTACTCAGACTTTTTTTTTTGTTCAACACAAGAATTGAGGACTTTGCCAAAGAGGAGGTTGAGCTCACGTTGTCTACAAGTCTGGAGTTTAACACACCACTCTCTGACATGTCGGATGTTAAAACCATGATGGACTCCATCAACGTTGTTCCAGGTCTGATTTACAAATAGTTTCCCAAAATCAGCTACAGTGCTACCAATAATCAATAACTAATTATTAGTACAGCAAAGAGATGAGGGTTCATTTATAGGAGACATCATTTGCCTGCAACAATATGTATTGGGTTTAGCAGAGAAAGAGACTGTGGGGATTGGAAATATATTTCTATTGGATTTTATCCACAAGCCATTATACAGATAGGAGATGGAAGTACAGTTGATGATGGAAGTCTCCCTAAACATCCTTGAGGTTATCACTGTGATGGGAGCTGTGGTACATGGTAAGCCTACAAAAGCAAATGATAGGATTACAGTGATATTTTAAGTACATCTTAGGGATGATTTTACCTGAGTAACAAAGATCATTGGTCAGATATGGTCATATCCAAGTTGTGAATGTAGGGAAGTGGAAAAGCGTTGTGGACATAAACAATTAAACCAACAAGCCAAACCAGAAAAAGTTGTCCGCTTTTAGATTAAACTACAGCAAGCAGTCGTAATGCATTTTATGCAAAACTGCTCCTGCACCGTTGTACTTTTGATCATATGACGTGATAATAAAAAAACAAATAAAAAATGTTTCTCCAATATGTAAACAGCTCCATCAGCCCCGGTAATCAACCCACAGATGCCCAACTCGGCCTCCCAGACGTCCCTGCGTGTGTGCTGGAGCCTGTTCTCCGACGACACGGTGGAGTACTATGAGCTCTACTACAGGCCGGTGCTTGAGGACACACCAGCAGACAGCTCCTGTGCACCACCTGGTATAAGACACGGACTACAGATTGCATGATAACACCATCTACTGTTGGAATAACATTGATTTGGAAATGTCTCTGAAGAATACTGGCAGTATGATGGTAATCAGTGCAGCCATAATTAACATATTTGCCTGCTTTTCAGTCAGCAAGGTGAAAGTGAAGGAGACCCACTGCACTGTGGCAGATCTGCTGCCAAACGCTCAGTATGAACTCTGGGTGACTGCCACCAACACCACGGGCATCAGCCCAGCGAGCGAGAAGGCCTTATACATGACAGGTAATAAATGTTGCACTCCTACAACACGAGGGTTCATAAAACTTGTGACAGTTTAAATAATAGTCTTGTGGTCTCAGGATGTCTCCTGAAATCACTGTTGTTATCTATTTTGTAATCGCTCCAGCTTCACAGGATTGATGTTAGAAGGAATAAAGTGTAAATCGTGATTGCTCTCTCGCTGTAGTGCCATCGCCTCCAGTGATAAAGCAGAGGGAGTGTACCAGCTGTCCAGAGGCTGCTCTGATCCGCTGGGAGTCAGGGAACACCAACCCTGTGGACTCCTACACGGTGGAGCTCAGTGAGATGGGCACTGATGGAACAGAGAATGCCATAACTGAGTAAGAACTAGTTATTAACTTAAACCCACAGTTTGATTATTTAAGCTTTATTTTAACAGGAATATTCCCATTGCAGAATCTTTTTTACAATTTAGAGAAGAATAAATAGTTTAAGATAAATGAACAAACTCACTTAAAATAAACAGCAAGTTACTTTAAAAAGAAATGATCAGTAACAGTACATGTGCATTAGAAATAATCCTTTTAATACTGTTTCTGAAATATTCCATGAAAAAGATCAAGTGATAAATGACTTTGTAGCTCACACGAGAAAACGTTTAGCTTACTCCAAAGAGTGCGGGTTCGAGGAATGACGTACATAATTTGTCTCAGTGACCAAAGGTTGCTGTACTAAGCTCAGGATTTAATTGTGCTTTCTTTTGTAAACTAAAAATAGCCCTGAAAAATAGCCCCACAAAAATGCTCCAGTGAATTTGCAGAGCTTCAAAGATGCAGCACCCCTGTGATATTGGTCTTCACGGCCCTGTCCTTTTAATAAGGCTTTTGCTTCAATACATCCATAAAAAAGCCCTTGTTAGTGCTTGCTTGGGATTTTGTAGGTCCCATGGTTATAGAGCTGCTGAATCAAGACATTCTGTCCCAGAAAATCTATTCTTAGCCTCAGCTCCTGCAGCACAGCTCGAATACCGTCCTCACATTTGGGGTCATTTTCATTTTTCATCTGATCACTTTGGAGAACAGGAAAACCTTTTTTATAATGAATAGTCTCTGCATTTTTTTGCAAAGAGGCACCTAAATGGTATTAACTGTAATGGATCTGTGCTTGGATATGAGAAAGTTCTTGGTTAAACACCCCGTTTATCCACCTACTATTTCAGAAGTTGTGAGACAAGTTGTTATTTCAAGGCTTTATACTCTGCTGAAGATATGGAAATAAAAGCCAATCCAAAAAGTTGTCATCATTGTGCATTAAGACTATTTAAATAGTAAGTGATATCAGCCTTCTGTCCCATTGGTTAATCGTCCAGGTCTATTGTAGCCGTGCCAACCTGTCAGTGTGTGATCCAGCTGCAGACAGGACGCCGTTACCTCATCTCTGTGAGAGCAGTCAACATCGGTGGGCCCAGCGACAGGAGTGAAGTGATCACCGTCTCCACGACAGGTGAGAGGCATCACTATCAGCTGTTCATGGTACTTTCAGACATTGGGGGAAAGAAGTCAAAGTAGCAGTACTGATTTATAAAAAAATTGTGTTAGAAGTAAATGCATTTAGAATAAGTACGGAAGTAAAGCAACAAAATTCACTTTGAGTATCTAAAGTAAAATAACTCATAGCTAGCAAGCCACATGAATGTCTGGGAGCAAATTAATGTTATATGCTACACAAATATGCCCAAGATTTGTTGAATTTTCTGAATATTGGATTGTAGATTAACATTTTCAAAAGAGGGGTTCGTTAAGCATTAAACACTTGAAATAACTAAAGGATAAGTTAAAAAAGAAAGTAGAAAGAAAGTGAGGTAAAAGAAAACGATTTTTGCTAAAAAGTTAGCTATGATTGAGAGTCAGACCTAAACATTTCAGATGTGTGTATCTCACACTACACTGTAACTTAAATTCATGTACCTTTGTTATTCATGATTTATTATCTTTGCTTTTAAATGAGTGTTTTTAAATGCCATTTCATAATGTTTCTTAATGCTCTTAATGTCTTTCATTGTTGTAAAGCACTTTGAATTGCCTCGTGTTGAAAGGTGCTATATAAATAAACTTGCCTTGCCATAGCAGCCACACGTGTCCTCTTGGATCCATCTATTGACCCCCTTACGGGTCATGTTTCCCAGGTTGGGAACCATTGCAAAAACATGTAGAATAGATAGATAGAATCTGAGGATGAAACCCTCTTTAATGGTCACACAACTGTCTATGTTTGGTAGTTTGAGTTATAAAAATGCATCATCTCTTTGTATGAATCAGGTTTTTCTATACACCTTGACCTGTACAATAGCTTACTATAGATGGCTTAATAATTGTAGTGAAGTAGGAAGAATAATGTAGCATCAAATAGAAGTAGTCAAAATTGTATTTAGGAACCGTACTTCAGTGAGTTCACTTTGATAAGTTCCATCTCTGCCTTTGACCTGTACAGGTACACTCTTCTACCTCCTGGAGGAAACTGCCCATTCTTGCCTTTCCATCTCTGAGGATGGCTTCACAATTTCCTATGGAGACGAGGAGCTGCCAATCAGCGCTATGGCCTTAGACGATAACAACACCTTTAGCAGGTAAAAATACAATTGAGTCTTTTGTGACAGAAGATAATGGGACTTTCCAAGAGTGTAGATATGTAAAGTAAGGCTGTGTGTACAGATGTGTTGCTGTCCTGGGGGATCTGATCCCAGTACGAGGCAGGCATTACTGGGAAGTTGAGGTGGATGATGAGACAGAGTTCAGGATCGGAGTTGCATCTGAGGACACGGAGAGGAACTCCTACCTCGGAGCCAACAACACCTCCTGGTGTATGAGACACATTCTCACTCCATCCAGGTAAATGCATCATGTCTGTTAAAAAAGCATTACTGTGGATATTATAATGACTGTTTGAGACGGTTATATAATATAGATTTGCATAAGCTGTCTCAACAGAACTTTGTATACAACCTTATTCCTCCTATATAACTGCTTTATAACTGACCTCAAACATAAGAGATAAGCATACTTCTCCATCTTTGAGTGATTGCTCAGTCCCTTGATTGACTTGTTATTCCCATCCCCATTAAACAAGCTGGGGAATGTTTTCCCTCCCAAGTTGATAAAGATGTCCAGTCAATCTGATCCTATTAGCATGCTGATCCTCTGAGGGTCTACTATTGCAGTACATGGAATCTGGGCCACAAATATATCTTTTGCCGCAGGAAATTTCCCTTTCCTAAGCAAATAAATGGTGCATCCGCTCCCACAAAACGAAGCCTATTGATTGTAGAAGACACAGTGGAATATCAGTTACTTTATAAGTGTTGCCATGGCAACTCATCTTGGTTCAAAGCAGGACACTTGGATTGTCACATTGAGTAAATCATGCAGTGCGCAATGATCACACAAGGGCTGAATGTGGTTTACGTCGTGAACGTCTTTATAGTAATAAATATAATTTTAACAATTTATTCACATTACTCATTCAACAGCATCATGTTTTTAAAATATGATACACAGCATTTTTTCGTTCATTCTATCTATGCACAATAATACACCAAAGAAACATCCTTTTGTGTGTAAACAAAACGGGTAATAACTTGAATTACAATGGCTGACAAAATGCCATTTTTTCTTTAGGCATAAATTTGAGTTTCTGCACGGCGGCTGCAGTCCTGACCTGAGGATCACAGTGAACCCGGTGCGGATCGGTGTGGCTCTGGACTACGAGAGGGGGACTCTGTCCTTTTTTAACGTGGATCTGGAACAACACCTACACACTTTCCACTGTAACTTCCCAAATTATGTGCAGCCCTGCTTTGGCCTGGATAACCCAGGAGCTCTTACTGTGCACAACGGCATCGAGGCTCCTGAGTACGCATTCATCTGACAGCAGAATGACGGAATAAAACCCAGGGCTGGAAGGACGTGAAATAACTTTGTTTTTCTTACCAAAGTTCTGGGAGAGTCCCAATAAATAAAAGCATATGCCGGCTCTTTGCAATTGTGTAAGATGTTCAGGATCCAAAGACAATAAGGCATTTATTTATAAGTGTTTCTTTATTATAGTATTCCATGGGAACAGGCATACACCATTTTCCAAGATAAGAAAAAAAGTTTCACTGAATTTTACAATATGTATTTATAGCATCAGTAACTGCAGCAGACCAAGTGTTTGAATTAAAAAATAGGAAATAAAGGGGCTTGTTTTGATGAGCAAAAAGATGGTTTAAAAAAATTAAAAAAGATCATGTAGTTATACAATAGTATTCACCTCTTAAAAAAAAAAGGGAAAATCCACCCTGAATACTTTCACACTGATCAAAGTGAGTAATTTGTTTAATAGTGACATCTTTACAAAAATGACCATCTTTTCATAATTGTATGTGGACGTTTTGGAGTCAGTCAGACACTTAGAGTAAGAAAGAAAGGTTTATATCAAGACAGCGATAACAAAAGGTGAAAGATTTATATTTTCTAAACCATTACAATCTCTAATGAGCATGAAGCCACAAGATGTGCTGCGCTTTATAAGTCATTTGGCTACAAAAATATGCACAATGAAATAGTTGGCATGGTTTTCTATATTTACCACTGCTGTATAGGTGTGCAATACTATAGAGAAACCAACGGGTTCACACCCCTTGTGTGATATAACCGAGAAAAAAAAAACTAACTGAAAAAGTACACCAAGACCATTCAATAAAAACCTTTCCTCCTTAAGAGTCCACGAAAGCACCAAACATCAGGAGATGGTGATTATTCAAAGACCATACCAGTGTTTGTTTTTTCATTTACAGCCCGTTTACTAATAATCATCTGTGCTATAAAATAATGATATATTACGATTGTCAACCTGTCAGTGTGTAAAGTTTGGTCCCCTGCCTTTTAAAAAGGATGTGATACATAAAGTGGGGCCAGATGTTCCTCTCCCTAAGTGCCATATGGAGATGAAAAAAAAAACATTCTGCAAGCTTTAAAATGGTAAACTCTACTTGGAAAATAATCAGCAATCAATGCATTCCCTCTTTGTAGTAAAAAAAAAAAAAAAATGGCAAAACAGTGAATGAAAACGAAAGGGCGGATTTTTCCTTTCCGGGTTTGAGAACTGTGTTGGTAAACCGAATGGAGACTTTGGGTCTGTGAGTGTCCTGGACAGTGGGGGGGGGGGCAGGGGTTATGAGTGATCGGGCTTACTGCTGCGTGTCCTCTCCTCCTCTTCGTCGGAGGAGTCTCCTCCGTAGGGGACTAGCCCAGACGTATCTTCGTCCACTTTCGTCTTCTTGCCGATCTCATCTTGAACACCTGTAAGAACGCAATAAAAAAAGAGACAGAGAAAAGGAGAGAGAAGGGGGGAGTGGGGGGGGCGAGAGAAAAGGAAACCCATTGAGGAGTCCCATGTTAGCGTTGGTTTTTGGGTTCGTTTGATCCACAGCCAGGGATGGGAAGATATCAAATGAAACGGCAGCAGAGCACACATCCATAACAGGCCGTCCAGGGGCACATGTTGAGAGAGAAAACAAGGGAAAGACAAAAGACATATACAGGAGAAGTGCGTTAGTGGGTTCTGCCAGTGGGGAGCGTCACACAGGTCTCCACTCCTCCATGGGGGGAGATGCAGCTACATGCAACAGACATGTCCGAGGTATCACCCTCAGGATATTTGAGATGAAGAAATGCATACCCATAGACGCGGTGATGCCAGTCAGACTGACTGGGTCTTCTGTGTCTCTCTGCCTTTTGCGTGCAACAGGGGCAGGGGCCACAAACAGAGGTGGGGGAGGGGGCATCAGAATCCTGTCGAGAGAAAGACATCAATATCTACACCTCACAAAGTTCATGAAGAATAATTTAACAAGGAAAACGTAATCAATTAACCTACCTTTCTACTACTTTCTCCTTTCCAACACTGGGGGCAGGAAGGGCCGTCTCTTGGTTCACAGGACCCTCTGGAGATCTGCTGGAAGGCTAAACAAACATAAAAAGAGAGTGTTGGAAAAACATCGTTCAACACATGAAAACCTTATCAAAACTTAACCTTCTCACTTATTTGAAAAATGAACTTTGAAAGGAGGAGAAGCTGAATAAAAAGGCCACGGCCTGATTCGGATGGTAATTTGAACCTTTGATATACGTCTCATGACAGGCAGGGAAATGGTTGGAGAGAGCCTGAAGTGCTCCAAGGGTTGATAGATGATGTTGGGAATTTCCAGGAGTTTAACATTGATGCAGCTTAATCCCATGTCTGTGTTCAAAACACACTGCTCAGCTTTGTTAGTCAGCCAGTATTAGGAACGGTGGTTAGATGTTTACGAAACAATAATGTGACTCACTACTTAGCTAGTCTGAAAAACATAGTAACAGAGACAGTGTGCATGTAGGATAACCCAACTGTGATTGATACTTTTCATGGAACGTAATAGTGTGTCATTTCATGTCTTTGTATTTTATTTCATCTGTGAGCGATGTGTAGAGGTGTAACTCATCAGCTAACCTGTTCCTCCTTAGCCCCCTCCTGGAAATGACGTCTGGGACTTCCTGAGTCAGGGGGGTTGTCTAAAGATCCTCCAGGCTCCACTGTCCCACTGCTGCCAGCATCCTTCAGTAGAGAAAAAACCAACACATACACACGGCTGCAGTGACAGGATTTAAAAAACTGTGCACAACGGTATAGAGGCTCCTGAGTACGCATTCAACCCTTTCAAGGCTGTACAGGTTTAAAGTTAAGCATTTTATAGGTTAAATAATACAAAAATATATCGAAATACACAGCTGCTGAAGCCTTAGCAATTACCTGGTCGAGATAGGGATGTGGTTTCCTAGGACACACAGGATACTGAACCATTGCCTGAGAAGATGGAGGGTTTGTCGACATGTTAGAATGACTTGGGGGACCATTTGCATTACTCCAATAACCACTGGCTCCTGAGTACGCTGAATAGCCGCCAGCATACCCATTTGCTGGGTAGTTATACCAGGACCCCTGGCTAGAGTAATTGCTATTAGGTTGAAATCCATGTGCTGCGTATGCTGAAATGAAAGTATAGAACGTGGAGTTAATAGCATATATAACATGAACCAATAACGGTGTTCTTGACTGTTACGTTTTATTTTTAACTTATTGAGCCACTACAGATGTCACACGATGATTATTAACAAGATGGATGCAGTCAGCTAGTACCTGATATTGGGTCACCCTGTTGGAATTAGTTACGAGGAATAAAGTAATACTCACGTTGTGTTGAACTGGTGGCGCTGTACATCGACGCCATACGGGCATTTTCCTGTCTCACCTGGAGAGAGAGACAAATATATTGAAGGAGGGATAGCAATCAACAAAGGCTGCATTGATTGATTTCAACAGTTGCATTGTGGGTAGGTGCAGAGCACTCGTAATCTATCTCTGGAGATCAGGTGGTTCTCACTACCACTTTTACTTTAGGAGGTGGGTATCAGTAAGAACTATATGCTTTAATAGTTTCACCTTCTTTAACCTCCCATTAGGCACTCATTCAGTTAAACTCACACCTTTGTTTGTGTCAACAGTATCAGGAACTTACAGTTTCCAGCAGACTCTCCGTAAGTTTCTTCGCTGACTCCAATCCAGCTGAATTTGGGTGGCTGTAAACACAAATAATGGATTTAATGTGGGTTGATCTCTTAATTCTTAACTCAGCAAAGATGTCAAGTCATGGTCTGTTATTATTGAGTGAAAATGTTTAAATTAGTCAACTAAATTAATCTATGTGTGGTTTCCTTCAAAATAAACATGGGTCTCGTTTCTTTTAGCTTGAACATTGAGAACATACCTGATGTAGACATAAAGAGGCTCGAAAGACTCTCGTTTGGATGCTTGTTCGATGTAGCCAGAACTTTTCCCCCTGAGAAAGACCCGAGCCCCCGTCTCTGCCTGGATGTGACTCAGGTACGATCCTCCTGGACCCTCCACCTTTTCATTCACGTTGAACGAGGGACACGCCTGGTCCAGACCCACAAAAATCTTTGTGTGCACAAAACTCTGATGATGTGGGGAAATATGGGATAAATTAATGTGCCCTGCATATTCTGTTTTTTTATAAACATCTAAAAAAAAGCTTGAATAATTGTAAGAAAGATTTGTAAGCAGGCGCAGAAATCCAAGGCTTTTCCCTTTAGACCAGGGACGTTCTCTCTGCTACTTTATCTGGGAGGTGGGTATCAGTGAAGGCAACATGGTCTTCATTTGCCTCACTTTCTTAACCTCCATTTGAAAAGTTCTGACTGACACTATGACATGACACAGACAATCAATATTCAATACAATAGACCTGAGCTTGTTTCCCTGTTGTATTATATGTCCAATATGCCTACCCCTGAATGAGGAGCTGCAGGCCGATGTCCTGGCACTGAGTTGGTGTTTGGCATCCGTGGTGCAGATGGGGAAATGACGGGCCGAGGAGGCTGAGGGTAGAGTGTGAGCGGAGGCATTATAGGCACCTGATGTCCTCCTGATGCCGCCGAGGCCCTCAACAGGTCTTCAGAGATTATCTCTTTTATCCTCAGCACAGCCTCTGGGGTTGCAGTAAAGTGTTGGACATCAGTCATAACCCACAGGCATTAAAATGCTTACAACATTTGTGAATTACATGAGAAGAAGAGTATGCCAGAATCAGCAAATAGAGCACATTTAAAAAAAAAAGTGCTACTTACTATTGACTTGATCTTGGTTCTTCCCCTGGACATGCAAATACAAAGGCCTTTGTCTGAAAGTAAGCAAATCAGAAATGTCATTGAAAACACATCATTTTTTCAATGTGTAAAAAAATAGTCTAAATTGGGATCAGAAAAATCCTGTGTCTAAATACAGACCCTGCTTTTCCTTTTTCCCCGTCAGACATGTAATGGCCTTTCGTTGAGACGACTGATCCACTGAACTGTCGGATCTGGAAAAGTGAATAGAATATCTGATTAAGATGTAAGAGGGATTTATAGAGTTTCTTAATGTTTTGCCTGTCCATTTTCTTTTGAACTTATCTTGTGTGACACCTGAAAAGTTACCATGGGCTCTTTGTCTAGTTACCTCTTCTTGTGTTTTGCCTTTAGTAAGAAGTTCCCTGCAATTTATTGGTACATCGTTTATGTCGACCTCTGTGACCACCATTTCTTCCGTAGTGTTTGGCACATGGATATTTCGAGGCATCTAAAAGAAGTAAGAATTAAGAAGGAAAGCTGTTAGCCTTCTAATTTTGCAATAAACAAGACAGTTATTTACCACAGATGTCTAAATCATGAGCACCTTTGCAAGCAATGGTGGAGGAGTCAACAGCTTTCCTTTTGCCATCAACATGGCATTTATTTTAGCAGCCATGGCTGCTGCCATTTCAACTCCTCCCTGAGGCGCCGGCTTCTCTCCCGCTTGTTGTGACGGGGAAGCGGAGCTGTTTGAACCAGCAGTGCCGACGACTCCTGATAAAGACAGCGAGTGGGTTGCATTTTCACTGCTTCTCTGTTTAGGCTGGGCTGTCTTATCCCATCGGCTTGTTAGGCACCTGAGAACAAAAAACAACGGACAAAAAATGAAATAACCATATTTGTAATAATGTTTAATACATAGTTTTAACCTTTTAGGAAAACGACATAAAAAAGGGGACAGCAGAACATGTATTTGCCATTTAAATCTTTAAGATCTTATGGATCTTTAAGTGGTAATAAGCTACACCATTGAGAGTACTCAGATAAAAACACAGGGCAAATTAGTGGTAATCATTACGTAGAGGGGCAAAGGGAAATGTTTTGCATTGTTTTTCCGTAGTTGTAATAAATAATTGGTCACGTAACACGTAAAATATTCCCCAAGAAAAATCTAATAATTTGATTCAAATGGCGCTGGTAACGTGATAGCGGTTGAAGCGGTACAAAGTTCGAGACGAAGGTAAATAGGAAATAGTGGAGTTTTAAGGAGCCTGGTGGTAAACCAATTGTCGGTTTGATTAAGCTAAAAGCACAGTGTGTGTTTTGCGCCAGATGAACATGCGTTGCGTGTTTTTAACAGTTTATTTTCAGATAAGCCAGCAACAGCCAAAGTTAGCTAGCTGTAACTGATACTAATGCTAAGGTTGAGCTACCTCAGTTAGCAAGTTACGATCCTGTTTATTTGGACTTTTGTAATAAAAATAAATATATTCAAGCCAGTAGAGCTCGAGTAACCTTGTAACATACACCCTAAGAGTCGACTCGTATTGAGTTTTACGCCCATAAGTGATAGCCCGTGTGCTAACAGCAGGCCTCAACAATGCAGCTAGCTTGGCTGGCTAGCTTACTGCTACACATAATGCAGTGCGGCGTTATCTCGTGTTACTCAAGTTGCACAATATATTTAAAAAAGCAAACAAAAACTTACGGTGTGCGTCCCGTCATCCCCGAAGACATAGCACCACTCCAATAAATGTGTAGTATAATTAAAACAGTTTTTAATACAGTTGACGCTGGGCGACGGGAGCCATAGGTCTCGACTGGCTGTCGATTTCTTCTGACGACTTGTCGCAAAGTGTGACTAGGCGGAAGTGGAGCTGTTTTCATGTTACGTAACGTCTGGTCAGGCCCATGGATGTATGGAGGTCAGGCCGGGCTAATGAGTCCATGGGCCAGGCTGGCAGACCAGCTTCAACCAGCTACAATCTTTAAGTGGTCCAAGCTGTTATTTATTCAGCAGGGCAGTAACAATCTCTAGTATGGATTCAAAGTCTGACATGAAAACTATTAAAAAATAAATGAGACTTTTCAATTAAGAAACTGCTTAATATTCATAACAATATTCATATAGCATAGAAGAAGCACTAAAATCAAATATGCCTATGTCCTAATTGTCTTGAAATACCATATCTGGTTTGGATTTGGAATCACACGGTCACATGACATGATAGCTATAAAAAAAAACTGAAATCATCTTCTATTAAATCATTATTTTGGATACAATTCATGACACATCCTTAATCAAAAAAAGTATGCCAAAAAAATACATATTTATTTAGGTTGGTTTAGCATAATTGTAACTAATAAGGGCAAGTTAGAATAAAGATGTTATACGTGACCTTATCTGAGAACTTGATTTCTTCCTGAGTCACAATCAATAGAGTTATTGGCAATAGTAGTTTTTTTTCACAGACAACCCCCACACTTTGGATTCCGCGTTACTTTACAATGTCATCAAGACCTTTCTTCTGTCATTTCTTGATTGAGAGACCCCATGGGGGCATGATTTACATACTGTGTTAATGATAGGTTTGCATAACACTTCCACTTACTAGTATTCTTTCCCATTTCAACTGAATACCATACAATAAATTAATTCAAGCAGGATTTTCCTGTTCCAAACAGCTCCACCAGAAAACTGTCTTCACAGAGGAGTGTGAATTATTGACTTGTTTCCCAGGAATTAATTTCCCAAATGTTATCAGGTTGGGTTGTTTTCTTTTTATAAAAAGAAAAGTTATAGGAAGTTAAACGTACCCTTGATCCATTTAAAACAATAAGCAGTCTTCTGTGCTTTGCTGTAGAAAACATATTTTTGTACAGACAGACAGTGTTGAAAAGGAAAATAAAAAGATTCTAATGTATTAATTGTGCTATCTCAGAGAATCCTACATAATTTAAATGTTTCATACCCACTAAAATGAATCCCTCTTTGAAAAAAAATGGAAATCCTTTAATTATTGATACATATGTGCCCTATAGTTATTTCATATTTTACAAAATGTTGAGATAGTTAAAGTAAAACAAGGAACCTTCAGGAAGTAAAGTGAGTGAACATAGTTAAATAACTAGACAAACTCAGAGCAAATACAAAACATATGTATAAGGCTTTTTTAGGCTAATGAAAAAACGCAAAAATAAACAGAGAAATATAAAATAAGTAGGAGGACAGAAGTTGGGTCACTGCAGGAAAAAGACTGCAAACTTATAATTGACATTATTTTATTTTTCATTGAATAGTTTCTATTTTTTTTCCCGTGCCTTCAGACCAACATGTGAATCAGAAGGAACAAACAAATCCCCTGATTGAGAGTACAATTCTGTCATAAGAGAGACACAAACATAACCATGGTCAATAACTTCCTATTAACCATCATTTGCTTGGCTGTTATGGTATCAATATACTGTTTAAAGAGGATTTTTTTAATAAGCAACAATCTTTTACATATATTAGTATCCTAATCTGAAACCAGCCTTGAACAAAAAGCTGTTCCCTGGGTCTGTGCATAAGGATGTTGGACAAGTGGCCAAAATATAATGATGTTTGATCAAAAAAATCAATGCAAGCAGGCCTCTAGGAGACTGCTTCAAAAACAGTGATAGACAACTCTGCGATCCACATCCTTCCTAACCATTTAGATCTCTGCATACACGCTCTGTGTGACCATCCACTTCACAGGTATTCAGATAGCTAGAATGGTTGATCTCATTTGCTGCAAATCCAGTGTAAAATTCATTGTCTATAAAAATATTGAGATTTACTTGAACATAACCTTTTGACTATGTTATAATAAAAACTCCAGATGTCCGTTGCAGTTGCACAGTGGGATGTACTGTATAAATATTGTATAAAATAAGGCAGTCTTTTCAGTAGGATAAACCAGATACAAAAATTTCTGGGAGAAAAAATGTTCAAGTCCAAAATGTTTTCACATATTTCTGCTGTTGTCAAATGTCAAGCGGTGTACAGCATTAAACCAAGAGTAAGGGATTGTTGACACACACACACACACACACACACACACACACACACACACACACACACACACACACACACACACACACACACACACCACACACACACACACACACACACACACACACACACACACACACACACACACACACACACACACACACACACACACACACACACACACACACACACACACACACACACACACACACACACACACACACACACACACACACACACACACACACACACACACACACACACACACACACACACACACACACACACACACACACACACACACACACAATCCCATCCCTGGACAAATTACTGAGACGTAGACATTTCTAATATTGTTTACAGTGCAATACAAAAGTGTTCATTCAAACTGGTACTGTACTTTTGATAAGAAAATAAACATGTTTATTATGGTAATGCTTTGTATGAGTAATAATTAGCTATATTATTTGTCTTCATCAGCTTTGGCTTTTCTCTCTCTTTTCGAAATTCAATTTGTTCTTACTTATCAACTCATTCATTTATGAATGTTTTTATTATAGAAAATAAGGAAAAACTAAGAAAATGAACATACCAAATCATGTGTAATTAGTTACCTATGATCATGATGTTGAGGTGTTTGTCTCTCAGCAGTGGCCTAAAGTAAAGATCCACTCCCTGACCCAAAGAGAAAGCATCCCCTCCCACATGTCTGTTATGACAGCTATGTGTCAACTTGGATGTGTTTCTGAAGGACAAAAAAAAGAAGCAGTGGAGTGTTCTTTCATGGTGTGGCCTCTGGGGGCAGAAGGAGCAGTCCTGCCTTGCTGCGAGCACAGGGATGGAGGTCAAAGGTAATTATGATATGGCCTGATGTGGATTGGTCACCTTCATATCCAGGCCACATTTCACCCACTCCTCCAGTGTTGCTTGCTCCTTCAGTTAACAAGTAGTTTTTACTCAAACAGCAACTTCACAGGCAGACAGGAGTGCTCATGTAGTAAATAAGGGATGGAGGCTTTGCCAGGAGGCCTGTTAGGACCATCTCTCAGTCGTGTCACTTGGCCAGCTACACTGCGGATGCCTGAGAGGCACGAGGAGTTCATAAGGATGCTGTGTGTCCGTGTCTGTTTGTCACAGTTCTCATCTGACAAGCCAGCTGCAACTGCCTGCCAGGAAGTCCTTCTGTGGTTTCTGTATGGACGGACTTGTGGACGCTCAGCATGCTACAGAAGCAGAAGAGTGAAGGCAAGGAGGCCCGGTGGCTGGCTGGGCTGGCAGGGAGAGAGACGCCCTGGCAGGAGAGAGGCTGCCCCGGACCGCAGAGTCCCAGGACCCAACACTGCAGCGCCTACTCTGGAGGCGGTCGCAGGCTGTGCAGCTTCCTCTCATCAAGGCCTTTCCAGTACTTGAAGTTGTTGTCCAAGTGCTGCATAAGGTTGGGAAGGTCTGCAAAAGCTGGAAACACAATGATAGAAGGTGAACACAAGAGTCAACTTTGGTAGTTAGTTTTTTCTAAGTCAATACCACCTTCCTATTCATACATTTGGATGACTGTGTATGAATGCACACACTTAACTTTTACTCTCTTATATCTTAATTCAGGATATCTACCAATAAAGATTAATCTGGTACTCTCTTTTTCAATAATAATTTTTTCAATAAAATTACTTTTTTATTTATTGAATAATGACATTGTCAAAGGTTTCCTGATCTACTTGACGAAGTAGGTTTCTCCACTGATCCTGGTCTAATGTTGTAGTAAAACACAGTGTTTAGATTTAGTACAAATGTAGGTATAAAAGTACTTTTTAAAAGACCATGACACTTTACTTTATTTGCTAATTTGACAGCTTTATTAAACTAAAATACTCAGTAGGGGATTACCTAATTTCTTTAGAAGATTTCTTAATATTTTACTCATGCCACTTACAATTGTCTTCCTTCATAGGGAATTAACGGTCCACTGTCTCTGCTATTTGTGAGCTTGAATTTTGTTTACTATGCTTGTATTGTACATCCTCCTAAAACTGGATCTCAATAAGAAATCCAGATAGAAAAATAGATTTATTACATAACAATGAAGATGTAAAGCAGTGTATGTGTTTTTAGTGTTAACGTGCAGTGCATCCTTACCATCCCATGCGTCAAACATGTCCGTAATGAAGTAGTCCATAAAGGAAATCTGAGACTTTGGGATGCTACACGTGTTTCTGTCAAACACAGGCATAACCACTGGTAGACCTTGTCTCTTCTCCTCGTCCGTCTGCACCAGAGACAACAGCACAAATGATTATCATAAAATAAATCCATCTCACAACACCATCAAAGTTGTATCTTTTATCTAATTACCTGTGCAAAATACTCCTCTGAGATGCGTCCGGCCCATTCTATACAGAGCTCCTGAGGCCTGCATGGATTGGAGATGTCCGCACACTTAATGAGCATCCGCTTGACGAGGATGCGATTCTCGGGGGACGTCAGAATGCTTTTGGCGGAGTCCTCATCGCTGCTTCCCTAAAAGGAAAACCAGAAGCAGACCATTAGCACAAGGACAACTGAAGTTCTTATTATTATTAGCAATAGACAGCTATAGCACCAAGAGCAGCTTGACAACTTTCAAAATAACTGAATGTGTTTGTACACAAACAAATTCTGGGAAAATAAAATATGGCACTGACAGCAGGCTTTTTGATTCATGGGAGAGGATTTTTTTTAAGAAGCAGCGTTTATTTATTATGAACTTTAGCAACACTTGCATGTAAAAGAGTACAGCGTAAGTCGGGCAGTCACATGACTTTCAGCTTACTGTATCTTTCAAGATTCGATGAACTGACAATTTTGTTTAGTTGAAGTACAGAAGGTCTATTTTGCTTAGCCGAGATGTGTGAGGTCTCTGTTTTACTTAAGGCTCGAGGCTGAATGAAAGTATATGTGACAAAAAAGGCCAAAGAGCTCCTTTTTGATGTGCAACTAACCAACAGTCCATTACAAATCCTATCAAATAGTTTGATGTTCTTGAAGTGGTTTTACACACTATTTTCTCAGCATTAAATCATTTATCCGGATCATTCCTGCCTTTAAGGGGCAACTTTTAAATGTCTGTGTTGAGCATTCCACACACAGACGAGAAAGATGGAACCAAGTTGTAAAATTCTCTCCCCACAAAGATATCTGTGCCCGGGCAACAACAGGCCACAAGTCCCCTGAACCACTATCGTCATCTCTCAAGCTCTTAAAACATGTGTTGCTTGCATACTGTTGAACCAATTATGTTTCTGTGACAGTGTTCAACAGAATGAGATTACAATAGTTGTGTTTATCTAGTGTGTCCTTCCCGTTCTGAACTATTGAGGAAAAAGGAATTTGTATTTGAACTACTATTTCTTCACAGTTAGTAACTATAAAAACCTTTTTTGTTGTGTTTTATCATTTCTAATCTCACCCCATTCTCCTCCAGAGCAGCCAGTGGCTTGTTGATGCTGTTGACAAATTTGTTGACATGTTCAAAGTGTTTGGTCATCTCAGTTGCGAGCACCATATCAATGATGGCCTGTCTTAGCGTTCGATATTCATTCCTAGAGAGGAAGAAAGACAGAGACAGAAAAGAGAGAGGGATGGACAGATGAAGGAGGGAAGGCAGGGAGGTGGTAGGAGAAAAAACAGAGAGAGTGAGATGACAGTGTGGTAAACAGCATGGAAACCCGTGTGAACAGTTTTCCCCTTCTGACTGCAGTGACAGTGGCGATGAATGGATGCTTTGTTCACCTTCCCCCTCTGAGGGGACCAGCACATGTGAGCTTTTCTGCTTTGGGACTCAAATCACATTACTACCCTGCCACTGTCAACACACACACACACAAACACACAAACACACACAAAGTATTGCTTTTATCCGCACAAATGCAGACTTAGTTTATCCACTCATGATACTTCAGGTCATATCTGTATCACACACTATTTTATATAGGGATTTCAATACATAACATGTTATCCAGTAATATATAATATAATTATGTAGACTGTGTTGATGCTTACAAATATTATATATATTTATTAGAATATTCTGTATATTACAAAACGTCTGTTTATCTAATAAAGTAGGGTTTGCAAAAACTACTGGGTTCCTAGTGCCACCACATTATTGCACATATTCATAAAAGTCAGCACATTTGCATATAGTTTAGAATAAAATTAATAAATTATTCATCTTAATACAGAGGTTATCTTTTCAACCTTATGTCACAAAAACATTTAGTTAAGCAATTTCGGTAACACCGAGCTCAAACTTTTTTAGACCTGCAGCCCGTCCACACAATAAGGGTGTGGACGGGCTGGTTTCATAATGCTAATGTTTTGTGTCTGATGATCAAGAACATCAGAGGCATGAACTGGATGATGAAAACTTTTTATTTTTGTGGGTGACTTACAGTATTTTCTTGTGTAATGACTCTCCTACCTTTCAATGTTTTTGAAGATGTTGCACTTATCATCTCTCGTAGTGATCTGGAAGGCCAGTGCTGCATGGTGGCTCTCTAGCACAGCGGTGTCGTTGTAGAGGATGGCCAGTTCACTTCCTGCATTACACAGGAAGCTGTTGGTGCGGCCTGGGTGGTCCACGTCGTGAACAGTCGCAGCAATGAGGGCGGCCACCTCGTCAATGGGATCCAAACTTTGCTGTTGGGGCAGATTGAACAAGTTGTTAGGCATTTAAAGGAACATTCTGGTATGATGATACTTTGGTGCATTGTTTTGAGTGATAAACTAGGCCAAAAGCTAGCCATAACCTTCAAAGACATTAACTAGACATGTCACATCCCGATATTAATACAGCTGTGACTTGTTTCAAGTATAACCTGCAGGTTGAACCCAGAAGTAGCTTTGCATAGTGGGGACCGGTTGTGTTTATTCATTATTCATGATAATCATTATTAGGATAATGCAATTAAAAGCTCCTTTTTTTTTTGTAGGTGCATTGAATATGGATCTTAAGATTTACATGATACATAACATATGAATCTTTCAGTTAGTTGAATGTGTGATCAATGTTGTAGATTTTAAAAAACTATTTTTGAACCTACTTCTGAAGTTGTCTTGACAGAAATTGTAAAACAAAAAATATGAAAACATAGAAATATATATCTGTTCTGTGTGATGTAACATTTTGAAAATAGATAAAACACTGAATGAAAGAACTATAAGGAAAGAAAAAAAACACTATAAAGACTTTCAAAATCATTAATCATTTCTAAAATCATTTTCAACACAACAGACCTGCTAACCTGCTAACCTGATTTCCAGATATTTGTTAACCGTTGGTGATGTAACTTAGCTAAGCCAATGAAAGATCCCTCCACTGACATCAGAAATAGACAGATTGGTAATCAGCTTTAGCCAGAGCCCGGCCTCCAGCAGTTACTGAGCCACTGACACACTTGGGCCGGACCTCGACTCTCTTGGATAACAGTCTCAGACGGGACTGTAGTAGAAAATCCCGACATTTACATACTGTAGGAGTTTAGGCCCACAACCAGAGCCGTGTTGGACATTTGTAAACAAAAGTATGCTAACATTTCACTCATGCTAATACTTAAATCAAATTGCTGACTTTCAGCAACATCATTTTATACACATCTTCTCTTTCAAAACCAGTTATGTCACCAACTTTTTCTTGAAGATGAATCATACATCTTATATATTTATATGTCTATAGGCTAAGCTTTTGACCAGCAGCAACATTCAGATTACATTGCCATTCAGTTTGGCATATATTGTTTTAAAACAATATAGATTTTCTTTTCTTTTTTCAAATTACCTTGACCCTCTCCTTGGAGAGGAAATACGCTGTTGCGTGCAGGACATCAGCTGCATGAGAAGAGTTGTGGTAGGAGTTACTGGAGTGGTAGTTAGCTTCAACTACTTGAAGCCAGGAGCGCAAAGTGGCCTCAGGGCAGTTAAGGTACTCGCAGACCCCAAATCTGGAGAAGATCTTCATGCCCAAGTAAGTCAAAGGCCTGTGGGAGGATTCAGCATATTAGTTAAATATAAACTCTCATCCCAAGCTGTCAAACATAAGGCACTGTTCCTTTGGTAGACCCTAACTGTGTTATTGCCTCACCGTTTCATGGTTGCAGCTTCCAAGTTCACAATGTCGAAGTCCCAAGATTCCTCGTTCTCCATGGTCTGGGCGATACGAGGGGGGATGTCATTTAAAGTCAGAGGGGTTGTCAGGTGACTGGGCATATGGTGGGGCTCTGTGAGCAAGGAAGACGCAAGAGAATACATTAAGATGAATACATTTGTAGAAAATCAATGTGACTCTAAAATGTAGCATAGCAGTTCATATCCTTAATGTAAGTCAATTTACGTTTCGAGGCCAAGATGTATTCATTTCCTGACAATCTGCGTAGGCCATCCTGTGAACAGAGAAGAAAGAAAGTGTCAGGGAGTGAGGGAGCACAAACTGACAGAATCATTCATGCTTTCTGAACAGACACATGAAGAGTTCAGCTCAGTGTTAGGAGCACCAGTGTCAAAGCTGTCAAAACTGCCTTCAGAATAAAATGTATGGACAGTTAAAGTGTTTGGGTGCTTTGAGACATTTAATCTGACATCAGAACTGATATGAATGTATTCTGTGCTAAATTAAGCTGCTAGGAATACCAACACTGACAATGACATCAGCTCGGACTTCAAAGTAAAGAAAATTCAGTCACTTTTATTTTTGATACTTAAGTATATTGCAGCTAATAATTGTATTATTGTACTCAAGTACCGAGTTCTCCTTCCACCTCTGTTCATTGACCAACATTGAAAAGTAGTTTGATGCCCAGATAGATACGAAATTACATCACTTCACTTTCACACCTCGGAGCTCCATCAGTACCAGAATCAGTTTTATTAGTAGGTTTACACATACGAGGAATTTGCTTTGGTATATGTGGTGCATACAAAGACACAGAAAGAAGGACACGTAGAAAAACAAATAAATATGTGGATAGATAAAGGTTTACATTTAACTAAAGATATTGTTCGTCTTACATCCATGACTAGAATCATTCATGTTTTAATTATATTCACAGCAGTGACAACAATTAACATGTGTGTTTATCGTTTTTAAACGTGACTATTTGTCTTGTGTATTTTGACCAAGTTGCAGAAGGAAATGCACTTTGACTGAGGCGAGAGCGTAACGAATTACAACAGTATGATACATAATAGGAAACAAAGACACAGATTTTCCATATTAACACTTTTATGAGTGATCTTTCATCTGTGCCATGACACAATGTTTTGGAGGCCGTCATATGTTGACACCTCATATAGTTCCCCCACTAGCACGCAGAGTGAGCGAAGGATGAGGCAGCCAAGCAGAGCCTAATAATAAAGCCAATGTGCGGTTTAAGAAATAATTTCCATATTGGTGAAATGTAATAGTTGTGTCAGAAATGACACCGTGTTAATTTATGTACATGTCAGATAATCTGCCGGAAAATATTCCATTATGACATTTGTCTTCCTCTGGGCACTGCAGCATGCTGTGACAGCAAATGGTGCTCATCAGGGGTGCAACACATCATCACTTTAATAATCAAACACATGCTTCTCAGAGGTTAGTGGTGAAATGATCCGGCTCTGTTAGGACTGTGATTTCTAACAGCTTTGGATAAAAGACTAGGTAATAAGAAACTGTAAATAAAGATCAAACAAGTGGCTCTACTTCAAACAATATCAGTCGGTTAATTAAAAAAACATTCATGGTCCCCAGAAGATGAATATTAATTACCACCTGATTTGTCCTTTAGCGCCCCCATGAGCTTGACATTTGTGGTTTTTGTGTGACATCTGGTACAAACATTAAAGTTCTCACTGTGTGAACTGAAACAACATTGCCATCAGCCGTACTTTGTGTTCAGTGCTCAATGGCTCATGTTAGCTGAATGCTAAGCATGCTAAACTAAGATGCTGAACATTTCAAACTATATACCTGCTAAACCTCAGCAAGTCACATACTTTTTTACTTTTAGTACATATTTACACTACATACTTTGTAAGATGCCCTTGCTTGAAATTTGCATATAATTGCTAAATTCTGCTTTGTCATTTTCATTGAAACTTGAACTTTGACCCTCTTGCTCATATATATACTGCGCTTAGGATTGTGGGTTAGTAAAGCCTGCTGGCTTGCAAGTTGACTCTGGCATACTAAATAGTACAGAAGTTTGGGTATTGGAGTATACCCTTAGTCTTGTTTAATGTCAACATCAACCACTGCAGTAGTTCTGCATCCATTATAGTTTATCAACAAAATAAATATTGTTTAAATGTGTCTCTCAAAGAATAACTGACAAGAAGCTGAACTAAATCTGTTTTATGTGGTAATAAAACTATGCCTTTAGGTTATCAAATGTTAAAACGCTTAAAAAACATTAAAATAAGACATTAGGAACATTAAAGCCTCAATTTCCCTCTAATGTTATTGTTGACACTTGTCAGCTTTGTGAAAACAGTAATGTATTTATATTTACAGTATACATTGGGCGTGTGTGAGTACATGGGTATGTGTTGCAGAGTTAAATGTTTACTTCACAAGTGAAAAAGGAAGAGGAGAGTGGCTCATCTTTGACCCGAGCATTGTCTCCTGGTGGCGGTGCTTCTGTACACACTGGTTATTTAAAGACCTTTCTGCCCAGAAAGATGACAGCTCTTCTCTTAATGTTCGCTGCGTCTTCTGAGGTCAGAGCCAGCGCACCATAACAAATTAATCTAACTACACATGCAGCCAGGCACCTCATAAACAAACATGATCGTACATAAATAACGATCTAAACCTGAACTCATGCCTCACTGTTTTCTGGTTTCATCAGTGTTTATCACTTATACAGAACAACTGTTTCTGGGGAAGGACTGTGTGTAATAGCTCTCTGTCTCTGTGAGTCCAGAGTGTACATGTATAACTAAAGCCATGCTTATTCATCTGATCCAAAGAACAGGATGTTTCTAGGCCTGCGGAGTCGAGAGGAAGAGGTTCATATGAGTGTGACTGTGTGCAGAGAGAGGGGGGGGGGGGGGGGGGGGGGGGAGTGGTGGTGGTGGTGGGGGGGGGGGGGGGGGAGTGGTGGGCGGGTTGGGCTTTCCTCTCCAGCCTACAGGAGCACAAAGGACAATCTAACACTTCCTCTGGGGTTGTTGCCAAGACTGCCAACTTGGCACTCTTTCTACTTCTGTACTTCGCCATTGCTGTCTGTTAATCTCTCTCCCTCCCCAAAATATGGAAAGAGATCCTCACACATCACCACTCCTGACTCTGTTTCTTTAATTGAACGCGCTATCATTGGCTTTCATGGTGATTGGACCTTGCGTGTTATCACTGAGGAATTCTGCCTCTGACGTGCGTTATCATATGGGAGTCGATTCATTCTTAGCGGAAGGAAGCTGTTTGGGTGTTTCAGACCTCTTGAAGGACCCTTGTTCTCCACAGGATCTGCTGCTTACCGTCATCAGCCCCCCCACAAGGTCATTCGTATGGGGGTCCTCATCATTGGTGCCAAACTGTGGGGAGTAGAGCTCAGTCGTCCTCAGGATCTCCAGTACCCGATCCAAGGCCTCTGCCACGGGCATTGGACTGCTCTCCTGCGCTGCATTGATGATGTTGATTACCTGGAAGACGAAACAAGTATTTTTGATTTGTAAAGCCCTTTATGCAAAAAGCAACAACAAACTGATATCGTGTACTATTTATAAAAAGACATGCGTAGGACTAGGATAAAATAAGCAAATGAAGAAACAATTCAAACAATTCAAATAGATAGAATTTCTTGTAGGAAACCCATTTATAAGACACTATAAGTCAACAAATATAACAATGGAGGGGCCTTAAGTTAACCAGTAAGATGTAAAAAATCAATCCTGAAACCTACATTGGTTAAAAATGGTGTTATGTGGTCACTCTCTTCATTCTGCTAATTCACTTTCTTGCTAAGGATTGGATGAGAAGATCAATACTACTCATATCTGCTGTTAACTATGCAGCTACAGAAGGGATACAGTTAGCGTAGATTAACATAACATCTTGAAACAGGGGAAAAACAGTTGTCTCTGTACAAAATATATTTGTTTTAACTTTTAACACAACAGGTAGAAAACCTCCAAAAACTAATTTAAACATTTGCTTTATCCTAGAAAACAAGTTATAGCTAGCTCAAATTACACACACATACACACACCCACGCACTTTCACTTATTTCACTATCAGTGCTTTATTCTGTAGAGGATAGCGCCTTCAGGGACTGACTACACAGTCAAATGACAGAGCACTGGAGCTGCAGTGTGTCATATGACCATCCCTGGGGACTTTCTCTGCTTTTGACTATCCAGGCTGCAGACTTCATAAACCACAGCAACAGCCGGTCATTCTGGTTTGACATGCTTGAATGCCTTGTGCATGAAATGTGGCATTTTATCCGCCCATCGCCTCTTGACGTGGTATGCGTGGCCTCTAGCCTCGATGCTAGTAGCTGTACAAGAAGTGCTCATGGCGGTTTTGGCAGATTAATAACCCAAGAGTTCAGTCATGAGATAAAAAACATCAGTACAAAGTGATAATCATGAGACGCAGGCTGGGAGGCATGGTGGGGGGGGGGGGGGGGGGAATGAACCCACCTTGGTGATGGGAGCCTCTATAGTCATGGAGTGGATTCGGGCCATTGAGGAGTGCCTTCGCTGCGAGCTCCCTGACAGAATGAAAAAAAAACATTCCCAAATTATAATTCACCAACAAATTAGGCGGCAGTTTTCCATCTAATGATTGTGTTTGTGTGTAGGCTCAATCAACACTTGGAGCAAACAAACAAGGAAGGTCCCATAAGCTGGCAAGTAACGACCAGAGTTTCCATCATATATCTCCCTTCACTCTCACCATCGCTCCCCCGAGAAGTTGTGGATCTGACGTCCAAAGAGCCTTTCCTCCGGTCTTTGTGCTTACTAGATTGGATGTCTGGGGAGAAGAGAAAACGTTACATTAACATGCACACACAAACATTTCCAGTTCTGTGAAAAGGCTGACTTTGGCCCAATATCCTTTAAGGAGAGGAGACAAACTCTGAATCAGTCCAGCCTGAATACAGCAGCCTGTCTTTTATCATCCACAATGTGGGTATAAAATGTAATACATTTCAATTCAATTAATAAATGTCATGTCAAATACTGCACAAAGTGTGGAACAAAGTAAAATCCATATAAAGAAAGAAGTAAATATTTTATGTCGTTTATATTATCAGATTTTTCCTAGGAATCTTTAAGATAAGGCTTGTGTTATCTTATGTTTCCTATTCAGAAAAAACTCAAAACTGTCTGACCATATAGCACTCAATCACTTAAAGATGTGCTTATTTAATAGGATCTAATAGGCTTGACATTTGTTCTCATGACTTGCGTCAATGAGAACAAAAAGCAGGAAGTTAAATTCTTTAAAAGGGCTCAGTCATTTAAAAAAAACAACTGGGCAATGTAGTGTTTAGAAAAGGTTTCTCACACAGCTTTCTTTGTCTACGTAAGCCAACAGTTATGCAGTGGACATATTTTGTACTTCAAATTCACAATTCACTTTAGATTAAATAAAGGGAAAGAATAACAAAATTAATGTAACAAACGAGTCTCTTTGAAAAGAGACAAACGTTAGATACTTTATCAGAAGGCCTAGGGTTCATAGGGGTGTTAATGTGACATAGACTGTGCTGTAAGAACATGCACAGCTTCACAAACAAATCATCATTTAAAAATCACTTCTTTTCAGTGAGCTGCTGAATGGACGCCAACACAGGAGAGATCTGATCCCTGTGCTGATGGCCTGTCGGGAGAAGAGCTGCTGCATTTTGTAATCAGTTGCAGCTGTGAGTAGGTTTCATGGTTAATACCACAATACGGCAAGGAACAATAGCCCAGATTAAAAGGGAATAAAAAGCTGCATAACTTTTTCAAGATCAACATAACAAAGATTTTATTTATTTTAAGGTGTTTCTCATCTACATAAAGCAAGACTGCCGTTTCACATGTGTGTTATGATTAAAGAGAATAATGATTTTCTGGCATGGTGCATTCCATTTTCTGACAAATGTCCAAAGTTTTTTAGTTTAAAAAGCTCAGGTTCCCAGATGTGTCCTCAATGTATTGTTGCTAAGATTTAACAGATATTTGGTGTTTGAAAACAGTAAAAACGAGTGTATCATCTGTAGAACTGGAACTAATGTTGTGATTCCTAATGACGAACACACTGTTGGCCCTCACATCCTCAAACCTTGTGACCGATCACAAGTGACAACGCCATGGAAAGATCTTCCATCACTAATGCTGATAACTATACAGCAGAGAAAACCTGAACTACTAAATCTGAAATATTTAAGCAACATAAATCGCCTGTAATGTTACCCTAATACAGTGTCGAGTATGGATCTTACCTGTCTGAGACTCTGCCTGCACACGTTCAGTGGATTTATCGCTCTGCATGGACAGAATAAAAAGCAAATTGTTACATGTAGGCAAGAAAATAAATAATCTCATTCATTATTTATCAGCAAAACTGGAAACTCACCTTATTATTATCATGTAAAGGCCAGTTGATAGACACATAGTGTCTGATTTTTCTGTTAATGACAAAAGTTAATTAGTACACCAGGAGACAGTCATATTCGTCCAGTGTAATTATTCAGTTACAGAAAAGGTGATTTATATTTAGCGAGACTGAAAGAGCCTTGACATACGGACACTCACCCTCCCTGTCCAATTACAGGTGTGATCTTCACATTTTGCTGAATGCTGTCTCCGTTCTTCTTTTTGGCATAATAAATCCCCTGCCACTCCTGGAACGAGGTAAAACCAAAAGAGAGAGATGAAACATAGACACAGAAAATGTACAGCAGAGTAATGATTCATTATAACAATGACGGCTACAGTTTTTTTATTCAGTAGTTTGAAAATGTCCAAAAGATGGTTGACGACTGGGTGTAGCAGTGTTTGTGGTGCATGTAAGGTGGTAAAGCGGGATAGCTCAGAGTATTTCACAGAGCAGCAAGTTGCTTTAATGGATAAGGGGCGGGTGGGCACTCCTGGAGTCCAGTGCGCTCGTTTCATGTCCCCCCACCTACAGACGGCTGTGGCAGCTTAAAAAGACTCTTCCTGCTGTTAGCCTGTCTGAGACTGACCTTCGCTCTCTGTGTAGTAAAATTACAGCACAGCCATCAGCCGCTGTTCTTATGCACATGAAACAGAGCTGCTGGATGGCCAGTGGTGCGGACTCACAGCACACATGGATGCACGTGCACGCAAGCATGCACAGACACAAAGGCAGGAGCAAATATCTGCAGTGCTTACAAGACTGATCTGATTGTGAGACAATAGTCTTCATGTGAAAACTGTGTTTGTAAGAGTATCAGCTATCACATAGATGTGATTATTTTTACCCTGAGATACGGTATCTGATTCATTTGAACTGAAATGTATAAATTAGATGATTTAATGAATGCATATTACCTTTCCTTTCCGTATGCAGGAATTTATTGTTTCAAGGAGATCAGGCTTATTCTTCTCACTTTTAGGCACTTCTATTATTTCCTTCCCTATTAGCTCGCCTCGTTGGTAGCCCATAATCGACTCATAGGCAGGGTTCACGTACTGCAAAGGAGAGGAAACAAGAGCGTTGAAGCCAGATCAGAGATGACTGTTTATTACATCTACAATGACTTTACACTCAGTCCAGTTGGCGACATATGAACCTTGCCAATCATAACAATTCAGAGAAGGCGACACATTCTTTGATTAGTTCACAAAGCTCAAAAACATATATAGTATATGTTATGTGAAAACATAACGTGATAACAGGATAAAATGCGTTGATGGCAACAAAAGAAGCCATTCAGAAGGACAGAAACTGCATCTATCGAACTGAGCTCCGGATCACAAGACATGAACAGGCTCTAAAGCAGCAGAGAAGGAGAGAGAGAAAGAGAAGGACTTGCTGTACATCACAATAAAGCAACTACAAGTATTAAGGATATAAAACCCACCTGAATTACTTGATCTTCAGAAGTGATCTCTATGGCCTCTTGGCTTTGTTCTAGAGCTGTGAAAATAGCATTTCCAGCCCTGCAATACAAGTAGAGAGACAACAGAGAAGTGTTGTTAACAAATGCAACAAGCAGAGGGTCCAGCAACTATTTTTATACATATAAACATAAAAAAAAGTATTCAAATTGCATAAAAAAGGACAATTGTTAAAGAACAAACCATCTTTGTTTTCTCTTTGTCCACAGTTTTTAAAAATATTTTAATAAATAGAATAAAACAGATGGATAACGCAATAACGGTTGATTGAAATAAAGGTGATAAAACAGTAGGTAAAAAAGAAAAGTACAAAACCCAGACGGAAAAATATTTAAAAGTGGAACCTAGAACAAGACTAACGACATTCAATTAATTAAAAACTAAACATAAAATAAAACAGTTTATCAAATTATGTAAAATAATAAAAACAAGCAATATCTATAATAATAAATGAATACCAATAATAACATTTTTTGTCTGTGGATCACCTCAACAGCTTATGCTTCTAATGTCTTGCTCTCAGTGCAACAGCTTTGAAGTATAGTACGAAATGTAGATGCTACCACAACTCGGTACAGGACAAAGTACAGGACTCACCTCAGTTTGAACTGCGCCCGCACCTCTCCATGCTCCAACTGTAGCAGCTCGTTATAGCAGGCCATCATATTGGCATTCTCCACATATCTCTAAAAGTCAGAGGGACAGCAGGGATCAATCAAAGAACACTAAAATCCCATTTTCATATAAACGTATCCATTAAAGGGTTGTTATAGTGCTGCTGATGCCATGAGTTACAATGATTCAAGTACAAGGAACTCAAAGCACATGTCTCCTGAGCAAACAAAGATGATTTACAATCCGTGTTCCTGCCTTACAGTGTTGACAGTAGGGATATAAAAAAGCATATTGAAAGAATAATACAAACACAGGCAGCAGAAGACACACACACACGATTACGGACGGAATCTCACTCACCCTATTAAAGCCGGCGTTGATCAGGGGCATCACAGAGGCTTCCTCTCTGTCTGGCCTTCAAAATAGAAAACGTGTTAGCACCCAAATAAAAACATGATCTGCTCTATAATGGTATTTTATTCTGACAATACTACTAATCATTAGCAACTTAAAAAGACAGTTGGAGAAAAGTTAATAAAAAAAGGGCAAAAAGGGAGAGTCGGGCCAGCAAGTTGACATACCTTTTCACAACGGCGACTATCACAGTGTTTTCTGAAGAGTTGACCGCTCTAATTGACCTGAATGTAAACAGAGAGAGCCTTTTAGCCAGAGAGCAGGCTGGTGGAAAAGCCCATGGCATCAAATCAATGTATTTTTCAGTTTTTCACGCTCCGATTCTCTCAGGCAGGCCGAGCCCAGTGGTGGAGCTCGGTGCGCAGGCCGAGGCCTCTGAAAGAATGCAGTGTACAGGGCCACTCATCCGCCTGTGGTTTCCCCCAGCCAGCGGTCATAAAGGCCCTTTAGTTCCCCATCGGAGCCTGTGCGTGTACACTGAACATATGGATTGGCCAAAATGAATGGGGTTAACATACACGCTGAGCAGGGCAAATGAATGTTTGTAAATGTGTTTTTGGTTTGGGCAGAGGCTAAAGATAGGGGTGGTATGGGCAGGCACCGCTCATTTCTCATCAACATGCCTCCGCTAGGTAGCATGGGATGGAACGACGGAGCCCAAAGTGAGCCGTCCATTTACCCCACGCACAGAGCCATGACCACACGTCTTACCAAATGCTCTGTAACACACAAGCGCTATCCTTTCAACATCATCTGGTCTGGATTATGTTTTCGGCCGTTGATGACAGTCACTCAAATAGTTGAAATATATTCAACTGTATCCACCTACCCATCCAGAGGGCTAGAGTCAGATGTAACACCTGAACACAATATGCTGTGATTGAGAGTTATTTACCAAGCAGAGAAGTCTAAACAGGAAAAACAATGTTAAATCATTGGCTACAAATGGGATAAACTAATTAATTGACTAAAAGGTATAAATTGGCACGAAGTACGAACGTACAGCTTGAACCTTTCCAGTGGTAGTATGAATACAATGTTGTTTCTAAAGTTGAAGTAACCTTTCACTTTTCCTTTATTAACTAATATGTTAATAATTGTTCTACTTCCAGAGTTTCTTGACATGTCATGTTGTTCATTTGTTGTTTTGATGAAAAATTACAACTGTGTAAAAATCTTGAAAACTTTACAATATCAACTTAACAGCTAAAAAAATGACTGGACAGTTTAGATGTAAGAAAACATTATTTGACCACGTCTTCAATAATAAAACCTTAGATTGCATTAAGTCTGAAATCAGTTCAAATGCACATATTTGGAACGTGATGTGTTGGTAAAGTGGAACTTGATTTCATTTGACAGAGCTTTGAGGGAACACTGCACGGCATCCCTGTAGAGATACAACAGGAAATAGTTACAAATACATTGATGAAGAGAAGTGAAGAGGCCTACCGGCATAGTGCTTCAGCATCAAAGTGTCTGGAATGTCTGTGGTCAATGATGACGAGGTCATGATGCTTCTCCAAGAAACATTCAAGAGCCGACTCGGGTGTTCGTGCCATGCTGCACCTGAAGTTGGCCTTCTCACATGCCCAGCAGAAGCCATTACTCTGACTGTCCTCTTTGGCAAAAACTAAAAGTACCTGCAGAAAGAGAGATGGCTTAGCAAAAATATCTGTACATGTATTCATGATTCAACAATTAATCATTAAGTAAATAAAATGGCGTGTGGTGTGTGGCGCAGTGGATAGAGCGTTGGTGTTCGGATTAAGGGGTCACAGGTTCAAACCCCACTGCAGTCAGCATGTCATTGTGTCCCTGGGCAAGACACTTCACCCCAAATTGCTCCTGTGGGGATTGCCCACCGTATTGAGTATGTAAGTCGCTTTGGATAAAAGCGTCTAACAAGTGACATGTAATGTAATGACAGAAAATAAAGAAAAATGCTTATCACCTAGACTAGAGAAAGCAACTCCTAGTTGATTGTTCTGTTACATTTTTAAGCCATTTTTAAAACATTTTTTAAAACATATGTCATTTTCACTGCTACAAAACAAACGTGTCTTTTATATTTGGTATGATAAACAACTTAAAATATAACAATACTGTAAACAATATTGTCAAATGTTAAATTAGTGTGTACATCTCGCTTATACCTGCTGTAGAAATGCTAAATGTGTCACATACAGATTATTTGTTTGGTTTAATCAAATACTAGAGATACAGTATTTAGAGAGGAGATGGACATAACATTTGTTGTAAAACATTAGAGAGCTAATTGATATGTAGGTGTGATTTGATTAGAAAGTCGGATATAATCACAGATGAGCTGCCTCCACCCTGTGCTACACAGTGTGTTCACAAAGACACAAGAGGAGGGAGCGCTACAGTCAAATGTGGATTTGATGCTTCAGTGCCAGCAGCTCAGAGTTGTCATGTCATCATCGGTGCATTCACGCTCATTTGCGCATGTCGTCCTTATGCACTGTGGGCTTGACTCTGACCTCAGGCCTGCCGTGGACAGGCCCTGATTGATCAGGCTCAGCTCGTACTCGGGTGCGTCACAGATTTTATTGTCCACTGCCGTGATCTATGACACAATTAGTTGAGGTGGCCTTGACCGGCAGCAGCCCCTCCCTCCGGCCTGCCAAGGCTGTGGCACAAAGTGCTGCCGCTACCGTCAAGCCAGCCATTGGGAGCGCGCTCCCTCTCTGCCAGCATACTTTCATATAACCTCTTGCTTGCGTAAATACTGGACCAGAGAGTTAGGCCCGCCTCCAGGAGCAGTGCTGCACTAAGAGCAGATTCATGAGTCACTCTCTCAAACAGACGTCATCTCCAACTGTTGGCAGGGAGCAGGATGAACGTAAAGAAGGGAAAGTTTGTTCTGCGGTTTGGAGTTTGCATCACACCTGTTTAATTGAGTTAGGACACAAAGACGTGACTTTGTTGGAGAAACTAGAGCTACTGTCCTCCACACAATGAGAGGATAGAGGATTGCTTGTTCTGACAGTTGTCCTTTTGATTCATTCTCATGATCGCTGTGGCTTTATTTAAGTACTTAGCTTCAGGCCTGTGAGGGGTTTTGCTAATGCAAACCATATTCCACATATGAACAGTTTCCCTGCAAGCGGCAAAAAGTGTCCGGGTCATAAATACATCACCACTGAGTCCTGCAGCTATGTTCGGTACGCACAGGGAATTAGATCAGAATTCCACATTGGGATGTTGGTAGAAAAGTCAACATTCCCGCAGAGGTGGAGGAATGGGGTAATATAGGCTGAGATAAGGTCTTTTCAGATCCATCTGCACTGACAACAAGGATAGGCCTCGCTCCGTAATAACACACCCAGGCCAGTAGAACTCGAAGTACATTTTAAGTGAGGACACACTGTTAAAGGTCCAAAGAAAAAATGGAAGAGGCGGAGAACTTAGAAGAGAAACAAAGACAGAAAGAGGGAAAAACAGTTTGCAGGGAGTTGCGAGCATTTTGGCAGGGTTTGAACTCTCTGCCTAGAAAAGATCATTGTTAAACCAGAGAGGGCCCGGTCAGATCCTGTGAGCCGCGAGAAAAGAGGAGGAGTAGAGCGGAGAAGGGCATGACAGGATCAGCTGTGAGTGACAAAAACAGGAAGGGGATATCTTTCTACCTCGTTTTCCTACTGTGGTCACACTGGAGAGCATCAGACATTAGTGTGTGGCATAAATACAGGACGTCTAATGCATTGCTGTTCTTTGACTACCACCGACTGCTTTTCATTACTGATACACTCAGTTTAGCTGTGGTGTTCAAATAAAGGTTGATATTTTACTTTACACCAGGGCTGCAACTAACAATTATGTTCATGATTTATTATTTTGTCTGTGGGCTGTAAAAAAAAGTTAGGAACAAATGCCCATCAGAAACTCTCAGAGCATAAGGGGACGTCTTTAAATGTTTTGTTTTATCTCACCAACACTATAAAACCAGGAAATGAATTTAGCCAAACAAAGAGAAACAGAAAATCCTCACATTTGGGAAGCTGTAAGCAGCAAATGTTTAGCATTTCCAGCTAAATGGTATGTTAACTTTTCAGTTCTTTAATGCAACCTTGAAACCAAATTAAGTTTACTCTCAAATTTCTTACAAATTCTGAAAAGTCTCACTTTTTCTCCCAAGATTTCAAACAATGAGCAGCAGCGCCTGCCAAAGAAACGAGTGCAGTACCAAAGTGTATAATGACCCATTGAACGTCAGAGAATGTCCTGTTTGCAGTGACCACACTGGTGCATGGATCCTCTGTGCGCTCCTTCCATAACGTGCATTGTTCATTATGGTATGTTCTTGGTCATAAATGTTTAGCCTAGTTGCCTTGACAACCCAAGGCTGCCCTGCACACAATAGATCCATTAACAGTTTTTTTTTTTTTTCTTCCTCTTCTTTGAATGTTTGCATGGGGACGGTTTTTCCCTTTAATCTCTTAAAGAGGTGTGGTACCTTTGAGAAATTCAAGATTAGTTCTCAATGCAAACAATAGAAGGTGACGTTTTGAAATGCTAACTCTGAGAAAAATGCTACATGGTGTGACTGCCAAATATTGACAGTCACACCATGTTTAGCCCCAAGGCTCAGCTAAAAGCCCCTAAATGATATGAACATAAACATTTCCCTGGAGCACTTCTGCTGTTACGTGGAAAGCTGTAATGCGTTGGAACACATAAACATCAATCATTCAGATGTTTGGCTTTGTTTTACAATACCTGAAGTGGGTCTTTAAATAACTTCATTGGTCCAAATTGCACCTCTGTTAATGTGGTCTGAAAGATAACAAGAAAACAAGGATTAGACATAAATCAAGTCAGAGATATTTCTTCAGTTATGTGTGTTAAGTTTTCATTGGCTTTGTAATATTAATAACAATAACAACCACAACAATAATAGTAATAATAATAATAATGGCAAAACCAATCAGTTTCTGACATTATTAAATCATTATATGTAGAAAAGCATGGTGGTAACTCAATTTTAAGAGCATTTTTAAATCACCAAATAGGACATTTCTTGTCTGTTAACCTACTTATATTTACGGAATGTCAATTTTGAGGCCCTTTTGTATTTCCATTTTTCCCCATTCCATGTCTTTATTTGATCAAATATTATCAAGGATTTAACAAAATGTCACCCAAAATAAAATTAGCTACACCTTAACCAACTACAACACTAAAATGCTTCTTATACATTATTTGATTAAAAAAAGAAATAATACCATTACATAGTATAACACTGAAACGGTAATTTTCACATTTTGTGATATTTTAGATAAAGGACTACAATATTGCTTCTTTTACTTAAGTGCAGGAACTGAAAACCTCTTACATCATCATAGACATAAATGTATGTTTTAGATTTGGACTTTTACACCGTACATTAGGTCAATAAATGTGCTGCACCTTGGCCTGTTATAACAGTAAAATGCTGCATAAATGTTTACATATCAGTAGTTAAAATCTAATAATAGAACACCATGAATTGGGCCATTTTGCAGTGCTTTTTACTTTTGATACCAACATACATTACATACATACTCGATTTTCAAGGCAGTATTTGCAACATAGTATTTTGACATTTTTTGTTTTGTTTTTGGACCTGGCTGAAACAGCAAAAACAAATACATTTATAATAAATGTAAGTAATGTAATCTCTTGTTATCCAATACAACTATACACTAAAGTAGATCATTTTCGATTTTTTTAATTAATAAGACAGACTTATCAACTCATTGCACTTTTGCTATATGACCTTACTCTTTTCTGTCTGCAAATAATTTAGCTTCCTTCCTGCTAAATGGAAACCAGCTCAGGGGTTAGTAACCATAGCAACCAAGCCCCTTGTGGACCGCCATCCCTGTAGAATTCCTCTTCTCTGTAAACAATCTACACATGTGAGGAGGAATACAGAGAGGAATTTTAGAGCGTGCCGGGCGGCAGTAAATCACTTCTTGCTAAATTGTAAGCCTTTTTGAAAGCTCCATTGAAACAACAAATGGGGGGGGGGGGGCGGAGAAAAAAAGCTGATTAGCCCTCGCTTGTAGCCTTATTGACGTCATCATGACACTAGGCCATTTGTTGTAGCCGTCCGCAAACAAGGAGTATGGCATCAGGATGGCTGCAAGCTGATGCTCTGTGATCATCTGATCTTTCACAGACACGAGGACCTGGTCGCATGATAGGCTCATGGGCACTCCAGAGACAGTATGCATGTGTTAGTGAGAGAGGCAGGGACTAACGTATGGAAAGGGCACATGCTTTTCCCAAAAAAGGTTTGACTGAACAAGACCCAGTTTTCTTGTTGTCAGATGTGATTTCAATTAATCAGACCACGTGTGTTGGAAAAAATAACTCAGCCCTCAGCTTTAGAATCAGAATCAGAAACGGGTTTATTACCAGGTAGGTTGACACGTACGAGGAATTTGACTTGGTGTTGTGGTGCATACATAAAAGTAAAACAAAAATTAAAAAACACAGATAGCGAACTATTTTAAGAACACTATAATAATATTACAAAAAAATAAGAAAAAAATACAGTAAAATTGAAAATAAAATAAAGCAGTATTTACATTGAAAAAGAATGCAATAAAATGTAAAATATGTGCAGTAATCAAATCAGTTATTGTCCACATTGTGTGCATTAATGTAATGCATATACATTTTGATGAAAGATTCAAACCAACCATGTGGAGGTGAAACAAAACGCTTCTATGGACTACGACCGGGTAAATGTCACAGATAGTGGCCACACAAGAAATATGCCACACATAGAAGTCATGTTTCCACTGCAATGCCGTGTGCTGGCGAGCTAGCTGAGGTCGGTCGGGGTCCTGAAGTATGGAGTTTGGCCACAGAGCCTCCAGCAAGCCGAGGCCTCGCTACAGCAGCGCTCTGTCTCCATCCAGGGAGACTTCCCTCTCTAACCCACACTGACACAACCAATGCAACTGCAGCTGAGGTTTTGTAACTAGAATATCCTGCCACACACACGCAGCTGAACCAGTTTGCCAGCCTCTTCGGGGCAACATACTCCTCTTGTACAGTACACACACGCACACACACTGCAATGAATCACTCAGCCAAGCATTTGCATCCCGCAAACATCACACTGGCACTCAACCAGAGGCAAACAAAGCAGGGGGAAGTGAGTGAGCATGTAGGCCAGGCAGGCGAAGAGTACGGAGTGTGTGCCTACGTAATCCTCGTCCCGCCCTGTGTGTGCTGTGTGTACCAGTCACACTGGACCTCTAGCTCTGTCGGGCCACTGGGCCACTTCTTAATGAAGACGACAAGTGTGTTGAGCAGCAGGGCATAGTGCAGGGCTGATTTAAATGTAAAGCATGCTGGTCTATGTACCTCATCTTTTCTAGTTAAGCTGGGGTTTAAATAAATGTCACTATGACTTTCAGAGGAATCATACAGTACCGTGATTATTTGTTTTTTATGATGTTATTGTTTTGTTATTTGTTTTGTCCTTTTAATTATTGAGAGCAACATGTAATTAAAACATAGGATGTAAACTTAAAGGACACCTATCATGCTATATTTTAACAATATATTGTAGGGCCATACCTATATAAAGTATATAAATATAGTTTTTTTTTCAAAATACCAAACAGATCCTGCATTTTAGCCATGCCTTATTTCGCTCCATTTGTTCTTTCCAGCCCTGTTTTTGCAGGGGGCTGATTCTGTGAGCTGCAGCTGACCACGCCCCCCTGCAGGAGAGGGGAGCGTGCTTTGAGATCAGCTGCTGGGCTGTCAGAAGAGGGGGAGAAAAAGAGATCTCCGTCCTCCGTGTTTTATTCTTATAGAAGTAAGAAGAGAAGTAACGGGGCAGAAACCCTCGTTTTTACGCAGCGGTCCAGACATAGACATCAAACGGCGACACATATTCAGTTGCCAGTTACTTTGGCATTAGGGCAGGGATATCTAGATACTTTCCAAGGTTTGACATAATGAATTGTGCTACTTTTAAAGCTAGCAACGATGTTTTCAAATCTGTAATCAAAAAGCTCCTCAAAAACGCTATCGAAGCAGTTTCTTCTTTGAACGTTGTTTTTCGTATACGTGTGATTTTGTATACATTTGCCATATCTTCATATATAGATTGATATCGGACAAAGTCTTCTTAATTATCTTCACCAAAACATGTTATGTTTTCAGTTCAAGTTGTTTACCTGTTGTCGGCAGGATTACAGAAAAAACTAATTTCCCAATTTGTATTAAACTCGCTGCAACAGCGTATGTGCCATGTGGATCTTTGATCATGTTTTCTCTCAGTGATTGTTATGTTAAATGTTTGTTTTTCATATATTGTGTCTTGATATGTGTCTATCTTTATGTTACACATGGAGCTGCTGTGATGCAAGTAGAATTTCAGACTTGATCTGACCATTAAAGTATTATCGTATCGTATCTGAAAAACAGGGCAGATACACTACTTGCAGACGTCTCAAAATACGGTCTGCGCTCTATGCCATTACAGTTTTCATTATTTCAAACACATTTCACAAACCTATGGAACTGGGGTTTCTAAAATCCCCTGATTCCAGAGTCAAATGACCTCTCAAACCCGAGCTATCAAAAATGAGCTATGAGGCTTTTTAAAACTCTGCGTTTCTCTCAGTCCCTGAGCATTGTGTAAATACTGTCAGTTGCTAATTTATTATGTACACATAGCTCAAAGTTATTAACTCTATATATAAATAATTTTAACATCCTGTTAAAAGAGGTTAGTTCAACATGCTTTTAGGAAATGTAGTTTCTGGTGCTGTATACTGCTCTCTCATGTTAACCACCCTTAATGCTTATTGGCATGTAGGGCAGCAACAAAGAAAATGTCGAAACCATATCAAGATAGTGAAAAATAAAAACAAATCTAAGAATAAGGCAAAACAGTTCAGTAGCACCACAAATAATTGTCCGGCAGTGGCTCAGTCAGTAGGGGCTTGGACTGTGAGCCGTAGGGTCGCCGGTTCAAGTCCCCGACCAGACCTAAATATGGAGTGTGGACTGGAACTTGGAGAGGTCCCAGTTCACCTCCTGGCCTGCCGTGGTGCCCTTGAGCAAGGCACCGGACATCCCCCTTCCCCCCTCATTCCCATTGCTCCCTGGGCGCTGTGCAATAGCTGCCCACTGCTCCTAGTACTAGACTCCTAGTACTAGACTCCTAGTACTAGGATGGGTTAAAAGCAGAAAACTAAATTTCACTGTGTGTGCTGTGTGCTCTGCATGTGTGACCATTAAATAGGGTTTCATCCCTCCCTATTCTATTCTATTCTATAAATATATATAAATATGTATGTTATCCTGTGACATTGTAATCGTTTTAATGTAAGGGGTGCTGTGGTTCTTAACACTGAGTCAATATCCCATAACGATTAAATAAATGTAGCTGATAGGACACCTTGAATTACAAAATGATATTGACAAAGAATCTGTAAATATAAAAGGCATCATTGCAAAAACGTGATTCCCTTAATAAGGTTGGGATTTGTGCTGATACCGATCCGACGAACAACTAAATCTCTAAACCTAATTACAATAAGCCAATTACCACAGGGCGGACCTGAAGACTCTGGGGCCTCTGAGGGTTTGGGGCCCAGCTCCCGCTTTTTCTTGTTGGTGAACCAGTCTGGCAAGTAAGGGAGATGTACAGTAGGATTTTAACACGAGATCTATTGTAAAAATCCTCACATGGATGACCTGAAAAGCTGTCTAGCTTGCTATTATGGGGGAGAATTGACATGTAGAGCCAGATGTCACAC